TTTGCTTCTCTCTTTTTCCCTCCATTGTTTATCTTGTTAATCCCTCAGCACATGTCTCACCGTATGAATCCATCCAGCGTCAAGTCGAGCGTGTCTGCTGAGATTTCTTCAGCGCATAATTGCTTCTTCATATCAATGTCTTCTCGCTTGTACCTTTCGATGCATTCTGTCGATATCACCAGAACTGCCACGAAGAGCAATAATTGATTTACCACACCTCCCACGTGTCGTGAGAGAACTGTTTCACTTGTCGATGCTCAGATTGGCGGTGGAAAAAAAGACCGGAAACACTTGTTAGCCAGTCATGACTTCATTCGCGCGGCATTCCGATCTGATAGAGACGATAAGAAAGAGGGTGAAAGACGTTTCGAGCACCAGATTCGCGTCTTGTCAATTTATTCGCATACATTTTGGCCAAGACAGCAAAAAGGTCTCAGCAAAGTGATCTCGATGTAGGTCAACTCCTTTCGCATCACACAGAAGTTAACCCTTGAGAATTTGGCAATATGACACTGCAAAATTCTGATGCGCAATTGCCGTGGAAAAGGGGGAATAATTTCCATGGAAAATGTGTATTTAAATTCAAACAACAAGGAAAAGAGAATCAAAATCATAGGAATGTACAAAGGCTTATTGGACAAGTCTCACGCTTCGTCTTATCTTGTAGAAAGTGATGCAGAACAAATTGGACATTTCATCTGATCTTCATCAGATTCCACTAGTTTATCGCCTCTTGACAGAAATTTCTCTTGAACATGCCAAAAATTTGTATAACCACCGAAAGAATGGGAGGGAAGCAGAGACTTTTAATCGAAAAATTTTAGCAAGTACGCTGAGAAAGAGACCAAAAAGATCATCTCGCAGCGAGAATTGTGTGTGAAGCCACAGAGTGGCAAAGAATGACCATGATTGGTGTGTGTCGATGATGGTATTCAAAATGAACATTTATCGACTGTTGCGATAACACAAAGACGATGAGATCGCCACAAGAATAGAAAAGGTGCTGAAGGAGGTGAAATTGCTATTTTGGAGGGAAATTCATCATTGAAGTGCGCGCGGAGAAAGAAGATCGCGCGCGGGAGGCAAAAAAGCGCGCCCAATTTGTAACCCAACAAAGCCGGGGCCAAGAGAGTATTTGAGTCTGTGCGTTCGGTGGGTGAGGCCGCGGGGGGAGGGCGACTTTGGTCTGTCGGAATTGCAAATCATAGTTTGAATAGAAGTTGAAATGATTGAAATCTCCAATCCACTCGTGGCCTTTGTGAGGCTCTGGGTGCTCATCTGATGATGAAGATCAACCTGTCCCACCGTCAAGTGAATATATTAAGGAAGACACACACACACTCCGCTTGGCTGTCGAGGGCAAAAAGCCCAAGAAAAATAACTAATATGTTAACATAATTATACACCCAAGAAGTTCAAAAGGAGAGAAAAAAGAGTCACTATTTCGAGGCTAATGACCCAACACACTGATGATGTCTTCTATGGCCAAAGACTGTGCCATCCTAAGCGCAATTTTCCACCACGTGTTATTTAGTCAAGGGAGAGACAAATATTCCTCAAATCTGTACACCACTTGCCAAATGATTTTGTGTTGTTCTGAGAATGATTTGAAGAGTATTAAGAATCTTCAGGGAATCCACAATAAGAAGGTATCAAATTGATGTTACTAAGTTTGAAAAGCTCAAAATTGTTGGTTATTATCCGTAAAATAGACAGAAACTTCCATAACACCACTTCTGGCCATAATATCTTCCCCTTGTGCATATTTACCATTTGATTGCCGTGCAGCCAAAGGGTGGGAAACAGAGAATTTGCATAAAATTCGATTGATTTTGGGTCTCAGAACGTCTCTAAAGTGTCATCAAGTCTCTTGCGAACTTCCATTTGACACACAATTTCATGTGGCGAATTCCGGTGTTGGGCAAAGAGCGTGAGACAGGTTGAGAAAAGCCGGAGATCACCAAGGCGAAAGATACTTTCAAGGCAGTTAGCATTGTTCAGTTGGGTGTAACCCGTCTGCGCATTGCGCTTGTGCTTTTCGATCAAATGCGCCCAGAATGCAGTTCAATCTGTGTACACAAAACTTCACGATACTTTATGGTCACTCTTTTCACGCGATAGACAAATCGCACCAGTTTAAGAGGTGATCAGAGAATACATCAAGAAGAATTGAGAGACACATTTTTTCTCTCACACATCGCACAGAGTTGATTAGAAGGTAAAAAACAGCCAATTTCGGTGTATTAAATAGCCTGTGAAATGTGTTGCATTTCGAAATTAACATGTCAATCATTTAATTCGGCATTTTTTTCCGGCCCGTTTTTCCACTGGGCGCACTTTGTTGGATGAAAAAGACAGAGTTGGGCAACGGTTAGAGATCTCTTGTGTGCGATAGAATACTGTGAGGCTTAAGATTTGTATCTAAGATCGGCTTTTTAATGTCGAAAAATCACTTGATTAGCATAGTTAGATCAATTATGAGATGATTTGTTCGCTTAAACGGGATGTGGAAAAAAACAGTAGGAAAAACACGATGTTTCCCATGATTTCCCAGCAATGTTCCTTTGTCTTGAATCCTTTTACAATTCTTAAAGCATTACCAAGTGATGAATATACAGTGAAAATTCCTCTAGGATTTCCACAAAATCCCATTGTGTTTTTATAATGGGAAGTTGCGAGAAATCGTTTTCACAAATACCACAAATTATACACTTCCTAATTACTTTCCCAAAAATCATTTGCGCACCTACAAAAGTGACATGCAAAGACAGATAATGAAGTTTCACTTTAAGATATTTGTGCAACCTTCAATTTGCTTGGGCCAAATTGCTTTTCCATTCTCACATTGACAATATACACTTTAAAGTGTCGAATTAGATCAATTTAAGCTCTGCAAATGAGGATATCAATCCACTTGCAAACAAAAAGTGCTGAGATTTAGCGTGAAAGAAAAAATCTTCAATGAAACATCCAATCAAAATTTTTCATGCAGTGAAAGTTTCAAGCGTGTGAGTTAATATTTTTTTATAGCAATTAGGGTGTTGAAAAAAATCTACGGGCTTTTTTGCAGATGCCATTTTGCTAATTGCATCTCTCCTTGTGTGTGTGTGTGTATTTCCACCAGCTGGCAATGCAAGCCATTCACACATGAACGAATCCCTCGAATTTGCAGCACCCAATAAGCGTGTGTGTCGTGAATTTTTGGGGAAGAAACTGAAAGCGAGTGATTGAAATTCATTTCCTAATTTTATTTGCCCGTCTTCTCTCTGGGTTTTTGCCCCGAGGCCAGATTTTTGGTTCACAGTCGTCGATTGCCTTCGACAATGCGTCATTCGGAATGAGAGACACACATATTTTCATTTCTCTCGCATATCAGAAAAATTGTGTATATATAAATTCACATTTTCTCACATTGAGCAATGCAGAGCATGCTGAAAATGTCCCAGAATCGCAGAAAATATTCCACGGCGGCCCGTCGAGTGTGAGTAGAGATCAAAAGAATCGCACGGAGGGTTGGAATAGTTGCTGAAATCAGTTGCAGAAGGGTTGAAAAATTCTTCCTCGCGCGAAGGGGTGAAAAACTCCACCTCTTTGTTGCGATTGAGGAGGCAAACTGCCATATTTCTTCATCCTGTATTGCGTCATAAAGGATGCTTAGAGCCTCTTTCGACGGCCTTATCGCGCTTCCGTCTCACGCGATGAATACATCGCCAAGAATCACTGTCAATTGAACTCCTGACACAGAATTATGGCCATCGGAAGGATGCTGCGATAAAGAATGCTCCCCAAGCCACCGCCGTGGTGGGAAAAATCCATCGCTCTCTCCCTCTCTATCAACTCTGTCTTGGCAAAGCGGGCGAATATTGAGTGTGAAACTTATTAATTTGTCTAGACTTGTCAATGTTACTTTCATATAATTTATGTACAACATTGTAAACATCCGTTAATAACCGGAAATTCTCAATCGCATACCAAGCAGTGCCACTACAGTTTATATGAACGCCATAGAGTGGCTTTTTCAGCATTTGCTCTCTATGAATTTCACAAAATTGATCGGCTTTTAAGGGGTGGTAAAGTGCAAAAATGCGTACAAAATATAGTAGATAAATATGAAAAACATCGTGAAAGTTCCTAATTATCTTTATTAAGAAATACGTCAAGAAAATTTAAGAACTTTGAATCTTAATGTTAAATTGCACTGGAAAGTTTTCCTGTTTAAGGATTGCGAGACGAGATTCGTAATATTGAATAGATGCAAACATTCTCAAGGCAATCAATCAATCTGTGCTCAATTGTGGCCAGTTGCCAGCCCTTTGGCCACCGCCTCGTGAGTTGATTTGTCGCCCAAGAGCCTGAGCCGAGCTGGGGGGCGCCCAATTGACGAGTGTACGCAGAAATCGGTGGCAGTTTCGCTCCCTCCGTGGGCAATGTCGTCTTGGATGCTCAAGGGGCCTGTCGCACTCGCACACAGTGCTGAATCCGTCAAATGTCGACAGCACGATGGATTGGTTGCGCGCTGCCCAAAAAGTGCTACTGCCTTTTAGTTGACTCTGAGTACTTGCCGCGAAGAGATCCCCCAGGTTTTGGCTCTCGCTTTGCCATCGCGCTAATGCGTTTGGGATATTGACTGGGGCAATTTGATCGCGCGGTCTTGTATTGAAATGTTGTGGCAATTTCCTGTGCTCTGCTGAAGTCCAGCCAGATGGGAAAACAGCATCTCGCGGGAGCATTAAGATAAATTATTCAGCGTGCAAAGTGTTCAATTAAATGTCTCTCAGTGTCACACACATTTGATACTTTACTATCTCTTCATCGTTGGTGCTCTTTAACGGATTTCATTCCGCCAAGACAGCGCGAAGAAGATCTCTTGTGGCACTGTTGAACATGGTGAACATGTCGATGTGAATTGATTTGGAGTGGCGATTGAGACATCGCTCGATGAGGCTAGAGGGCGTGCTTGAAGGTGGCAAAAGAAGTGCTAAAAGTGGAGTAATTAGACAATGGCCCTGGCGTACGTGGATATGTCTTCAGTGATCGAGGTGCAGGTCAGCCTCCTTTTCTCAATATCCTTGTGCAAATGGAAAAGTCACCGCACGCAAACAAGTCTCTCTCTCACTCGCTCACTCTGTGCACAATCTTTTTTCCAACCTTTTATCAATCACACGGTGTGCAATTTACATAATTTCCCAGATTCGCCAATCACTCACTTGATTGCGCGTCTCTCGCTGTGTTTGTGTCTTCATATTAAAATGTGGTGGAAGCATCGAGGAAATAATAATTTGCAGTTATCGCCAAAGAAGTCTCTTTCCTCCCCTTTTTTCTGCATTCTCCTGCCATCCTCCATGTCTTCCGTCCCGAGACAAATTCAAGAAGCCATCGCACACATCCAGAGACACTTTGGAATGCACCACTGTCGATCGCCCAATTTGCAGCGCAAATTTCAGGACACTTCTTCGGAAATTTGAGAAATATTCCACATTTACTTCGTGCGAGCATTTATTCCAATCACAACTACAAAAACACATCTCTACCTTCAATTTTAAGTCCATCAGCACTGTTATCAGTCGATTCATCCTTCCTAGCCCAATATTGAATCTCGCCTTGGCCAAAGAGTGCGAAAATCAGAGTTCCGAACACACAAATTCCGCCTGTGATGAAGATGAAAATCTTCCAATCATCCCTGTTTCCTTCGCGCACAATAAACCCATGCACAATTGGAAGCGCAATTCCCGAGATTGCTGACAGTGTATTGGCAATTCCCATCACAGTTGTTGCATAATTTGGAGCGAAATCAATGAGATTCGCCCTGAAAAATTTCACATGTCACAATAAAGAGATTTTCGTATGAATTTATGTCAACTTACGCCCAAGTAGTTCTTGCGAATATCACAATTGCGGCTGAGATGATGAGGCAAGTGGCGGAAATCTGCACATTTGTCGCATAAACTGCAGCGATGAGAAAGAGTGAAGATATAAGAAATCCTATTGCCACTGATAATTTTCTCACGTTCTGTGTTGACATAATTTTTTTGGATCTCAAATTGTCACTCAATAAGCCAACAATTGGACACAAAATCATGCACAACAGATAAGAAGTGGCCGCAATTTGGCCAGTTTCACTCAAATCACAGCCAAGAATGTCCGTGAGAAAGAGTGGCATTGCAATCATAAAGAAGCAAGTGCACCACATTTCACAGATCATAACAATCAGGACTGCAAAAACAGCCTTAGAAGTTAATATACTCTTCCACGGTGGTCTAGAAGATCGATCCACTCTCTCGCGATTATGCTCAATGTAGGCTCTTTCTTTGGCCGAAATGTAAGGATCACTTGCTGGACTTCTCTTGATGAAGATCATCCAAATAGCAAACCACACACAACCCAAGGATCCTAGGAAAGAAACGAATTCTTCCTTAGCATCAGCACAAATTGCATTCATAGTTTGACTAACCAAAGAGCCAAAACACGCTCTGCCATGAGAAATATTGCGTGAGAAGGTCTGATAAGAGGAATCCTATTAAAGTCCCGAATTCAGAGCCACTTTGAGCAAATCCTACAATTGTAGTCGATTCATAGACAGGCGCCCAATGATAATAAACATCCTGAATACTAGGAAAAGACACCTGTTGAAGATTCACGGCATTAAAATATGCAATAAAATCATTGGTTCAAGGGGAAGACAATATAGCGAAAACTGTGCAATATTTCTAATATTAAAATTCTTCTGTTTTGGCTAATTCTTGACCAAATTTTGTCATGTTTAAGGAAGTTATCCCACATGAAGTGCTTCGAATTGAAATTGCAATTCTATTTTTATATTATCTCCCTCTTGGACCCTGTGAAAAACTACACACACCTCAAGAAACCCCATAATTACTCTTATGGCAATGCAAAAGTAGATTCCAAGCTGCGATGTTAGTAGAGTGAGTAGATACATGAGAGCGTTTCCTCCAATGGCACATCCAAAGACCTGCGAAGAGTTAACTGTACAGAAAGCACTCGCAGGCGTAGGAAGCCTACAATATGTCCTCCTATCTTGGCAGCCAGTCGTCCACCGACGTACTGGCTTAGGATGTAGCCCCAGAAGACGGCGCTCAAGGTCAGGCTCTGCTCCCTAGAATCCCAATCAAAGTCTTGCACTTGCACAACGACACCACTTTCCAGCGTCACATTTCTCACTCTCGTCATCGCGACGAGAGCAACACTCCAACTCGCCTTCATGCAGAAGGACACGGAGAAGCCTAAGAACGCCATAATCGTGACATGATATCGACGATGCTTCCAAACTTTCCACCTTGATTCCAAATCAATTTCCTCACTATTCCGCCCAAACCTCCGTCCGTCCATCTTATCGGATTGAAATCACTGGGAAAACTGAGTGAATCTTGTCGTTAATTAGATGAGAAGAAATTTACGAGCGTCATGAAGTTTTTCCGCCGTGACAAGACACAAGCAAATACTACAAAAAAATTGAGCTACAAGGATTTCTGACCTAGAGTTTCACACATTTCAGAGCTAATGAATATTCTACAAAAAATATTTTGTTTTGATCAAGAATGGCATAAAATCGTATATTTACGATTTTAGGCAACTTCAATTCAATTAGTCTGCTGTTTTAACTGCGGAAATATTTTTAATTCACGCACAAGATATCAAGTAATTTTGTTACTTAAGAAAAAGCATTCGCAAGACATCTTATTCAGCCTGGAAGACCGCCTGAAAATCCTCTTTTACCATGATTTACTTTAGTGACATTGTGAATTCCTTTCTTGCAGGAGCGATTGACGAGTCACAGTGGCATCGGCCTGTCGAGCGCCAGTCCCGCCTACACGGGTCACACGGGCCACTCGGGCCGCTCGACGGGCCCGGGCGGCGGGCACGCGAGTGGCCACGGCGGCTCGCACGGCCCCACGCCGGCCATGCACACGCATCAGACGCTGCAGTCCGACTTCCAGCCGCCCTACTTCCCGCCGCCCTTCCACCACGCGGCCCAGAGCCCGCCGCAGCAGCAGAACCACGGGCCGCTGGAGTACCTGAGCGCCGACCCGTACGGCCAGCCGCTGTCCTCGCTGCACCACGCGCCTCTGCACCACTACAACCAGCTGGCCGGTCTGCGGCCGTCGCAGGAGCAGCTCGGCATCCACCGGACGCACCGCGAGTCGGACCTGCAGGGTCACGTGGTGAGTCCCAATCCCAGAAATGGTGGCAAAAGATTTGAATATTCTAAGTTAAAGAGAATTGAGAAGTCCTTGAGATTCGTCTTGAGCAGATCTGAAGTATAAATGCACCGTTTGTAAGATTTTCACTGAGGTGGTCTTGTTTTAATGTCCGAAACAGTAAATATAATCTAATACTTATCTGGCTAATATGCTTACTTAGAAGAATAATCAAAAATTCGGGAATCTTCAGAACGAACTTCGCGATATTGGTTTTTACAGCGAACCTAAAAGCATTTCATCGATCGGAAGTCTTCTTCACAGAACGCGATTCATATGAAAGTCAGCACAAGGTTTTTTTCCGATGCCAAAAGTCGGGCAAAAGATTGATTTGTTGCCACAAAAGTGGACTTTGTTGGTCACCACACGTGAAGCAGTGACAAATTGTCCGGACCAAATAATTGAGTTGTGCGCGAATCAATAAATGTGATGCCATTGAAATTGAATTGACATCACTTTGTGTCTCCCACGCGGCGAATAAATCGTCCGCGGCGTGAGGCTGAAAGGCCAAAGACGATTAGAGATTGGACGTCGATTGAGAGCAAATTTTAATGACTCAGAATCCTACTTTGTAGCACTGTGTGCCTCGGATTTCTTTGCGCGCGATGTCAAGCGCAAGATAAGACGTCTTGGACGCTACGCATCGCGCAGTCGGACACTCCAAATGAATAATTATAATAGTTTTATGGCTTCGCTCCTTTCGAATGGCCGAGGCTGAGAGTGAAAAAAGAGCGACATTTCGGAGTGATGTGGTTATTTTCTTTCATATTTCCTCCGCGACTGCTCCGCGCAGCGCCCAAAAACTTCAATGGACCCACAATGAAAATCACACCATCGCGATTACGGTACTTCAGCGTCTCTGTCTCTCGATGGCTGTGGTCAAGAATCTGGACTATTTTCTCTTGTGCGTCTCTATTTTTCATGCTGAGTGTATTTCATCCCAAATTGCCAATCGATTAGCCACAGTCGATAATAAATTTGCATTAGTGACAGTCACAATTTGGGCCATTTAATTAACAATGACGCGTCGCGATGATCGATAAAAGACGCATTCTTTCCTGAAAAATCCGCCACGCAACCATTTCCCCAGAACAACCCTTCAAGAGGGAAGAGCGAAAAGCTGTAACTCTGTCGAAAGTATTTGATGAATTGGGAGAATCTTATCAATTTCCCGTCTTGAGGCGCACAAAAGACGACCACTAACTCGCAAGATAAACTTACGGAAATTCCCAAGGAGAGCTCGCTTCCGAGTGAGGAATTTTGCATAACTCTTCCCCAAAGAATAAACGGCATTCCCTGATGAAGTCTCCTAAACTTGCAGAGCATTTCCACAAGGGTTGGGTGCTCTATGGCATTCTCGAATGCGAATTCTTCGGCATTTCCCCGCCCCGATTCGCCCTTCAAGGGTTGCTTATTCGCCTCAAAAATACACATTTTTCCTACTCATTCTTCCTGCTAAGCAGCAGATGAAGTTTCGCATGATTACAGGTCAGATTCTGTCTCTCTTCTAATGCAGAATTGTAGTCTTTTTTCTATGAAATCAAGATTTGAAACATCTTAGTGACAAAATTATCTTCTAAACATAAATTTTTGCGCACATTCTAAATAAGCTAATATGTTTTACTGTGAGTTTAATGTGCAGATTGCCTTCCAGACGCAACTGTCGCATGGCTTTCCCTACTCTGACCGCCGAAGCGACTACAGCGGCGCCCTCACCGGCTCCGGCGGCCCGGGAACGCGCCTGGGTCACGAGCACGACCCCCTGGCGCTCCACCAGGCGCTGCAGAGCGCCGTGGATGACGGCCAGAACGCTGGAATTGACGAGAACGCCGGCTTCATGTCAGACTTGCCGCTGCTCAAGAGTGAGTTCACCTTCTTCTCACACCCATGATACAGTCTTTCACGGCAGGGATCGAGGGCTAATTATTTGACACTGAAATTCGACCCCGCTGAGGTGTCGAATTGTTGGGCATGCAACAACAACTGCTAATCGAGTGACGGAGGGCAGATTTATTCCATCCCATGACAAACATATTTCTCAAATGCAAAAAGGGCGTGATTCTGCTCGCATTTCACGCATTATTCCACTCATAAAAGCGAGATATGCATTTAGGGGACAGCGGGGCAGTATTGGGCATTGCCGCCAAACATTTAAAGGATAAATCACATTTGCAAAAATTCTTCAAAACTGCAAATTTCTGTAATTATCTAAGCTTATTTAGGCAATTAAGACCTACAAAAGTCTTTAGTAGTGTGGAAAGGAAACACCGTGCCAGAAACTGCCCTGCTTCTCCCTATTAACATTTCACATCCTTCGCATCTTCGCAGACATGAAGAGTGGCAAGGAGACCAACACGATGGGCATCGGATCACCCAGTGATGTTTTCTGTTCCGTACCTGGAAGACTGAGTCTTCTGTCGAGCACTTCCAAGTATAAAGTCACCGTGGCCGAGGTTCAGCGGCGCCTGTCGCCGCCAGAATGTCTCAACGCCTCACTCCTGGGCGGCGTCCTTCGCAGGTGAGCACCCACGCCTCTTAATTGCGAAACTTTTACCCAAGCATGACTTTTCTCGCTGTTTCACGCGCAGGGCGAAGAGCAAGAATGGCGGTCGATTGCTGCGGGAGAAGCTGGAGAAGATTGGCCTCAATTTGCCCGCGGGCAGACGAAAAGCCGCCAACGTGACCCTCCTCACGTCGCTGGTGGAAGGCGAGGCCATCCACCTGGCCAGGGACTTTGGCTACGTCTGCGAGACGGAATTTCCCGCGCGACAGGTGGCGGAGTACCTCCTGCGGCAGCACACGGAGCCCCAGGAATCCTACCGACGGAAAGAGTTGCTCCTCAACACGAAGCAAGTGAGTTCAACCACCAACGTCATACACGAAAGACATTCTCGAGATGATGGGATTAAATTAATGTTCATTAAATACACAATATCATCTCACTGACCTATTCAACTATTCGTTCATATCTTATAAATGGTTTCGACTTTGCAGGTGACTAAAGAACTGATGGATTTGCTGAATCAAGACCGATCGCCACTGTGCAACACGAGACCTCAGCACATCCTGGACCCATCCATTCAGAGACATCTCACGCACTTCTCGCTCATCTCGCATGGGTTCGGCTCACCGGCCATTGTGGCGGCCTTAACAGCCATCCAAGTAAGTGTCGACCAGAGATTTTGGAGCAATGACAACTCTAATCATTAAAAATTGTACATTTATGGCATTCGAAGGACTGTCGTTTGAAGTTAATGGGACATTCCGAGGACAATTTAAGGAAAATCTATTGCTTTAAAGACGTTATTTCACAATAATAATAATAATCATTAGTTTTAATTGCGGTCAAAACACTGAAGTGAATGACTTTCAGACCATAAATTTCTGTCCATCGAACTCTATAAGAATGTCTTATGCTATTCCTATGAATTGTCGTATGACGTTCGAATTATGATCTTTTTCACTGCCTGTTTCAGAACTTCCTCAATGAATCCCTCAAGTACATGGACAAAATGTACCCAACGAACGGCGGAATGGTTTCCTCGTCGATAGACAAAGGTCCCAAAATGGAGAATGACAAGAAGTGATGTTACTTTTTGCGATACTCACTAATCTAAAGACAAAAATACGTCAACATCACCGGACAAGACATGCACAAAGACACACACTCTTCCTTTATTTAAGTAGAACAATTTCTAATTGTAAATCTCTGCTCACTCTATCGAGATGGTAAAAAATATACACTTTAGACAAGAAAAAAAGGAAACCTATAAAGAAACTCTACCAAGATTTTTCACACCATGAAAGAAAAAAAAAACAACTCTAAATGTGTAATTAAAAGAAATTTTATGAAAGAAGCATTCTTAATTAGGATGAATCGTCATTGTAGTGCAAAGGATCATTTGCATTTTTACAATATTTTGTGATAATATATAGTATTTGTGTATAAAAAAAAGAGAGAGAAGAATTGAGAACTCTTAATGATGACGTGAGAAACGCATTTGTGGATGAGCGAATCATCAAGAAGACAGAAATGCATTTAAGGGGAGGAAGAAGCACACCAACAATTAATTGATGTCAACATATCGATTTTCATTATACAAAAAAAAAGAAAAATGAATAAAGTATTGTAAAGTGAGATGAAATTTACTTAAATTATATATTATTACTGTAAATGTTGAATTAAAGACTCTTGATAAAGGAAAATTAAGAGGAGAACAAAGTTGCGTATAGAAGAAAAATGCCGAAGGAGTGACAAATTATGAACAGTTGAGAGAAATTATTAAGTAAAAAAGAAGAAAATAGGAGAAAATGATTGAATAACATGAGTGCCAACATGTGAGAGAAATGAATGAAATTAAATATCTTGCCATTTCTGTAATATTATTGTAATTATTGATATGACATAGCGATGAGAAAAGTGGCAGATTTTAGAGACAAGTTCTGCTCCTTATAAAAGATGCGAACGCTAGACCGTAAAAATAGTGCATAGTTTAATTCGAAGGAAGGTTCAATCAGAAAAACAGTTGATAAAGAAGTTTGCTTTCTTAAGTTCTTATTAAAGAAGAAGTAAAGACATCATATCACTTTTGTGATCATCGCGTGAAATACTCTACATCCTTTCTTATCTTTCAACTCTTCTTCAAGTTATTTTGCATTATTCAATATCTTGAGAAACAAAAAAATAAAGAAAGAATAGAGAACTGACTTTTTTGAGACTAGTTTTGTGAGTTAATAAAGCTAATTTTCATTGCCATTACATGAAAAATAAGTTAAAAAAATTGAGGCTTCTTTTGTGTTTAATGGAATCATTGCCATAAAGCATAATTTTATACTTTGTTTTTTTTTTTTAGTAAAGACAAATAAAAGATCTAACTGTGCTCAAGACATTTGTATAGGAAAAAAAGAGGACGATATAACTTTCGAGAGAAGACACGAGTACAAAGCTAAACTTGCCATTTAATTTTAAATGATTAAAAAGAAAAGAGAAAAAGTAAACGGAAAATTCGTCAAGAGAGAATTTTGAACAGCTAACGGCGCGACAATTTCAAGTGAGAAGAACCACGAGTATCGATAAAGTCTAAGTTTTAATTTATCAATTGGACACACAATACACACTCCAAGAGTCTAATCTGTTGTTTATATTCTTTAAAAAAAACCCCACACGTAATTTAAAAACAAAGTATGCATAAAAACAAAAACAAACAACTTAAAGAATAGTTCCAAAATACTGTAAAATAATTTTGAAAGAATAATAAATTACAGAAGAAATTCAAAAATCGTCTTGATTTTCTCTATTTTTCCAGTTGCGAATTAATAATGATGGAAAATGGGAGGAAATCCATGAAAAATGAATTGATCATCCTTAGAAATTGCATATTTTCAACAACTTTATTAGAAAAATAGGTACAAAAAATCGTATTGCTACTATATAAATTGTCATGTAATTTCATCAAAGTACTAAAGATAAACTTATTGTCTAAGAAGTCTTTGAACGAATTCGCTCAAATTGGTCATATTTCACAAAAAATAATTCAAGTATCAAAAAGAAAAACTTACGAAAATACGGAATTCATGGCATATTAGAGAGCCGTGTTGAGTAATAAGGATTTCATGAGAATATAAAATCGAATGACACAGAGAGATTTGTACGGAATGAACACAAGGAACGGGATGAAGAGGAATGAACAGTGGAAAAGAGACTCACGGATACACAAGAATGTCGCTTCGGCCGCTCAACTTCTGCGCGAACGTCTTTCCCGCGTCCGTGGGCGAGCTGAAGGCGATCTCGTCGAGTGTTAGCACGTGTCCGAAGACGAAGTGCATCTGCACAGCGGCCAGGAGTTGTCTAGCGACACCTTGCCCGCGGAAGGGAAGCGCTGTCCAGAGCCTGAGGATGCCACAGTGCGCCCCGAAGCGCTCCTCAGAGAAGTAGTCGACGTCGTTGCGCTGCACCAGACGATTGGCAGTCGTGATGGGCTCCGCCACGCACACACCCATGATCTGCTGGTGCGCCACGGCAATGTACGTGATGGCCTTGGCGTGCAGCACACGCGGGCACGCGCCCAGCTCCTTGTCCACCACTTCCAGCAGTCGCTGCACGCGATTCACCTGCGAAAGACAGTGAATTGTCAACGTGACGAAGCATTTTGGCCGCTTGGCGGAGTTCAAAGCAAAAGAATTAGTGAATAAAAATCCTATCAATTACTCCAAATATTCATCTTGGATAAGGAACAATTGCCACAACGTTCCGGAACACTCACCTTGGCCTGAGAGTCCGTGCTCTGCACACAAATCACGCGCCCCTCAGCGCCCCACGAGGCCACCGTGAGCACGACATTCTCCGTCTGCCAGCCGCGGAAGTTGATGTGATTGAGGGCGCTGTGGAAGTCCCAGTGGAGCTTCTCCTCCTCTGGCTCATGGACAGAGTAGACAAGATTGCACTCGCCGCACAGCTTGGCGCCGAACTCCCTCTGGCCAGCGTCTATCTGCATCTGTCCAGCGCCGATCGGCTTCCACAGTCGCCTCATCTGCCTCGCCTTCGCGCTCGCCACTTCCGGCGCCCTGAAGTCTCTCTTGAAGATGGGAAACACGCCCTCCTCCACCGGTTCTGTCGTCAACACGAACATCTCATCGAGAATCTTCGCCGCCGCCTCTTTGTGTGCCTCCGGCTCGCTGATGAAGATCTTGAACGTCTCCTCCGTGCAGATTCCCTTGCTGATCAGCAAATCGAGAATCGACTCCTGACGCTCAATCATCTCCTGGTCGGTCGTCCGATAGGGAAGCCTCTTCCTGAACATATCATGCGGATCACTTTGCACTTTGGCTATGATCTCATCCACTTCCTTCTCCTCCTCAGTCGTCAGCTTGTTGATGATGCCCTTCAGCTCTTGCTCGTCACAGAAGGAATCCTCCAAGTCATCAAAAGCCTCTTTGGCCACCTTCTTCCTCTTCTTCGGCGGCACGAGCGCCACTCTTCCGCGATCTACCGTGGCTGACAGCGCATGAATCAGCGTCAGTCTCTTCTTACTGCGCTTCGTACCGCTCTTGAAGAACTTCTTCGGTTGAATCTCCTCTTCCTCCTCCTCATCCTCCTCTTCTTCCTCGGCCGCTTCCTCGTCCGACGACGACTCTTCCTGCAGACGCAGAGGACGCGCCATGTCCAGAGGATTCTTCGCATTCCTCAAAATGCTGTTCAATCGCTGAATTTGACTGGTGGAAATGTCACTCTTCACCTCTTTCTTCTCAACTAGCTTGGCCTTCAGCGCCAACGCTCTGAAGATGCTCTTGCGCGTCGGCTTGGTGATCTTGTGGCTCACGCCCTTGTTAATCAGGCCCACTTTCTTGGGGCCGCGCGAGTACCGCCGGCTCGTGCTGGCGACGTTCTTGGCGTGCACCACGCGCTTTTCCGCCTTGCTGGCGCCCGACCCGTAGAAGCGCACCGGCGCGATGGCAGGCATCTCGAAGGACAGCGATGTCTTTGCCTTGACGAGCTCTTCGGCCTTCTGCGGCTGCTTCTCGTTCGGACTCTCCTCGTCGCTGTTCCACTTGGCCAGCCACTTGCGGGAGCTCTTGTTCACCAGAACCTGAGGGATTCCAATGTCACCCAAGATGAGGGACTTCTTGAAGGACATTCTGAGGTCGCGACAGTAGCTCTGCTTGTCCACCTGCAAAGAGAGGCGAGAAGAAAGACTTTAATCATAGAAGCATCAAGATCACAACCACTCAAATCAGCATTGATGCCAATATAAACACAATAATCATGAATATTTTAAGTATTCTGCAACTGTTGATGTGCACAATCTTCTCTGATAAGTTAATAAAGGAGGTTTGATCATCATTTTCACACTTTTCACACTGCAGTGAATTTCAATGCAATTTTTGCCACTTGCAGATGAGGAAAACAGGACAAATTCTACATGAATGTTCAATGTGGATTACAGTCTTCTGTACGCGATGGTATCATCAATGACGAGCTATCTGATACTCTTGATACAATTTCAGATAGAAAGCTTGCAAGGACGATTAAAAAATTGAATAATTACATTTGATTTTGTGAGATAAAAACACCCCCAAAAAGTCAGTTTGCTTCACAATGCGACAAAGAATAGAAGTTATTTTCCATCAAATCAACTTGTCTTTCTACAATTTTACAAAGTTCTTGGGTTTTGTGCCATTTTCCTACGATTCACACACAAATTCCTTCAGTCATTCTGCATTTTCTGCCATCTACAGCATTACAATAACACTCGTGACAACAATTTTCTATTCTCTCATCTGCCTTCCTGTCTATCACGACATCTTGACAGAACATTTCGGAAGAAATCTCGAATCTAACACAGGAACTGCACAACTTGCCTTTGAATATCTCGTCATAATTCTCACTCAATGCATTTATATTGCAAGAAGAGGAGAAATTGTGGCTTATTTCAACAGAAAAGCCAAATTAACAGCGACAATGGACAAAATTACAGTGAAGAGAAGAGCATTAAGAGGTTTCTATTCTGTGCTATTCACATTAATTTCACTTTTTACCATCAAAATGCTTCTGATTCTACCATTTGTTTTTATTGTACCCAAATCAGATCCACAAATAGGCTTCAGGTTCTTCGTTTATATTATTCCCAACACAGTTATGACCATCATTTGCTGCCACGGCACTCTAGAAGTGATAAGTCAGCGATATTTGGCACATAAAATCAACTTTGCTCTTGAAAAATCACTCAAAAAGTCCCAAATAGATACAAAAACCATATCAAGAGCCAAAAGAATGACAATATCTTGCGATATCAGTGATAAAATTGATGATTTGCTCATACTTTATACAGAATTAAGTGATATTTTGCAAAAATACAACGATTTTCAATCTTTCGTCCTTCTTCTCTTAATGCTCAATAAGATTCTTGAGATCATAATTCCAATATTCTTCGTGTATCTCATGTTGATAGGCGACTCAGTAACTTCTGTTAGCCTTGCAACAAATATAAGTGTCACAATTACGAATTTCGTAAGCTTCTCACAATTATTTTTCACCGTTTTATCATCTGACAAACTCACGAAAGAGGTAAAAAGTAACATCAACTATGATAAAATGTATTGAAAATCAATATCAAATCAATTTTGCTCATTTCAGATGGCGAAAACCGGAAGAATTCTCCACGATTTCTCGCTTTACAACACTGACGATCGTCTTAAAGAAAGCGTCAGTCGATTTTCCCTGCAAATCCTTCAGGAAAAGCGACCGATTGTCGTCTGCGGAATGTTCAACGTCGACAACACGCTTCTGTACGCAATGATATCATCGATGACCAGCTACTTAATTATGCTAATTCAGTTCCACGCCGAGAGATTGTAGATTGAGGACGAATTAGGGATTAAAAACAGTCAGTTTGGCTCAAAATGCCTTCGCGGGAAGAAGTTTGTTTTCACTGGATCACCAACAGTTTCCATTACATCAGCAAATTCTTCGGTCTAGCGCCATTTGGCTTCAGTTCGGCCAAGAAGAAATACAAGAAATCAGCAGTTTCGCTCGCATTCAGTCTTCTTATCCTGATTTTTATATCGCTTTCCTCTCCCTTTCTGATTTACCAATATTATTTAGTCCTAAATGAGTATTTAAATGGTCAAATCGGTTCATATGTTGGATTTTTTGAACTATTAAGCCAATGCCTAGAAGTTTTTGCCATCCTCTGTCTTAATATTTACAACAGAAGTGAAAGTATTGCTTATTTCAATGAAAAATCAGCCCTCAAAGATCAAATCAGTGACTTAATTGTGCCCACGAACAGCAAAATTTACTTCTTTGGTGTGCCTTTCTTATCATACTTCATTCTCTTTCTTAAAATATACGTAATTCTAAAGATAATGGTTTATGTCACAGCGGAAATAAACATCCTTGTCATTTTAATTTTCATCATTCCGAACGGAATTCTACTTTTTACAGGAATAATTCTTACCACTGAAGTAATTTCATTGCAATATTTCGCATGTAAAATTAATTCTTCACTCAAGGAATCAATTGCAGTGGTTGAAAATTTGCCAAAAAGCACGACAAAAGCCAAGAGAATGGTTTTGTTTTGCCAAATAAGTGACAAAATTGATCATTTGTCAATTCTTCACTCTAAACTTAATGCAATTCTTGTGATGTTCAATGACATTCAAAGCAAAATTCTCTTAATTTATATCGGAAATAAATTCACCGAACTCCTTATCCCAGCCTTCTTCCAATATTTAACTTTAAATGGCTTGATTGAAGGGAATCCAATAGCTTCTCAATCGTTTTTGTACACAAGCACACTTATTATGAACGTAGTTTGTGCAATTGAGCTGTTAATGCTCGTATTATGCAGTGATAAATTCATCAATGATGTAAATTGAGGTGTTTATGTTGAAAACAATCAATTCTGACAGTTTTTCTCAAATTCAGATGGCGAAAACCGGAAGAATTCTCCACGATTTCTCACTTTGCAACACTGACGATCGTCTTAAAGAGAGCGTCAGTCGATTTTCTCTGCAAATCTTGCAGGAAAAGCGACCGATTGTCGTCTGCGGAATGTATAAAGTCGACAATTCACTTCTCTACATTATGGCATCGTCAATGACCAGCTATTTGATTCTCCTCATTCAATTTCAAATAGAAGGTTTATGAATAAACCAGAGGATATCATCAATGGACATCAATTATGCAAACACAATTGTGATGATCTGATTGTAGATTGAGAGTGAAAACAAATTAAGAAAGATTAAGCAATCTCGCTAATTGATCGTCCTGATTCAGTTCCACACGGAAAAGAGACTCACCTCTGGCGTCTTCATCGACTCTTCCGGACGGTTTTCCTTTGTCTCCTCGGCTTCGGCGGTCGGCAAGGCGCTGAAGATGGGCGCCTGATCTGAGATCACGGAGCTCATGTTAGACACCTCGTCGTCCGGAGTCACGGGCTTCGTCAGCAGGAGGCTCCGGAAGCTGCGCTCGTCGGCGGCCGAAGACTCGTCGCCGACGGGACTGTAGCGAATGGGGCTCATGGGACCCAGATCTGAGTCCTCGTCGATGCTGAGGCACAGGCTGGTGGTGTTGCAGCGCCCGAAGAGAGCCCTCTTCCGCTCAGACATCTTCGGCGTTGGCGTGTGGCGGCTTCCGCGGGAAGTCTCCGCCACGGGCTTCTCCGGAGTCACTTCCATCACTCTCTGCACGCGGAAATGGTCAATCTTCAGTGCTGAACACGAAGTGTGGTGTGCAACTTACAAATTCTGCTGATGTCTTCGAGATTTGACCAGGATTTGGGCGCGATTCCTGCGAGTCTCTCCACACAACAAACAATAAAACGAGGTTATGTCGCCCAAAGTGTCAGATTTCGCGCCGTTAGTTCCAGCGAATCACTGGAATGAGCGAGACATCGCTATACGCCTGTGAGCAAGAGTGAGACAACCATATTCAATAGCTCAAATGAGATTGGTGTCTCGGCTAGTGAAACATTCCGGACAAAGTGAAAAATGCCTAAAAACCCTATGAAAACTCCTCTTTCCGGGCAGAAATTCAGTTGGTGGATAGTTAATGTACCAGTTTAATATTTTAAAAGCCTTTTTCTCTCAATTTCAACCTCCTTACAATGTATTTGATAAACTTCTCGCTGACCGTTAGTGCAGCGCATTCAAAATTTCCCCTCTCAGTGACGGACTGGAACATTCTCGTGCTGTTTTCTAGCACTTTTCCCGAGTGTCAGCTCTGTGTTTTGACTGGCGGTGCTCTCCAGATTGATTTTCGCCCCGCATTTTGGCGCCGTGAAGCTGTGCAGCGCATCAGGACGACCAGGACGCAGAAAATGTGAGTAAATCCCCGCCCTGAGCCTCCTTCTGGCGCGCCCCAAGTCTGCCCTCGAGCGCTGAAGTTCGCTGAAAATGTGACTCTCTTCTAGACAACCTCATTCTGGGGCATTGGCATTATTTTCCGTGCGGTTTCGGAATTGTTGTCCGGATTTGTTGGTCGGGGCCGAAGTTGCGTTATCGGTTGGTGGAAAGGTCGATATAATGTCTCAGTTGATGCGCGTGATCACGAGGAAAATGTCCACCTCACGCGCTGTGGAGAAAGTTGTGGTGATTGGCGGCGGATTGATGGGAGCCGGCATCGCGCAGGTAAGCGGCCGTCGTGGACTTTGACCGGCGGATCTCACGCTCTGTGGTCGCAGGTCGCCGCGTCGTCGGGCTTCCGGGTGACGCTGGTGGAGGTGAACGAGCAGCTGGTGGAGAAGGCGAAGGGCAACATCCAGAAGAGTCTAGCCAGGGTGGCCAAGAAGCAGTTCAAGGACGACGAGGCGGCGCAGAACGGCTTCGTGGCTACGACGCTGGGCCGCCTGGACGCCACGTGCAGTCTCACGGACGCCGTGCGTGACACGGACCTTGTCATTGAGGCTATCGTGGAGAACATGAAGGTGAGATCGGGAGCTAGTCAGAGGCAGCGATAACAGCGCCGCTCGTTGCAGGTCAAGCACGATCTCTTCGCCAAGATCGACTCCGTGGCGCCGCAGCACGCAATCTTCGCCAGCAACACGTCCTCGCTGTCCATCCGCGAGATCGCGCAGGTCACGCAGCGTCGCGACCGCTTCGGCGGGTTGCACTTTTTCAACCCAGTGCCCGTGATGAAGCTGCTGGAGGTCATCCGGACGCCCGAGACGTCCGATGACACGTACAAACGGATGATGGACTTCGGCCAAAGCATGGGCAAGGTCTGCATCACGTGCAAAGACACGCCGGGCTTCGTGGTGAACCGCCTGCTGGTGCCGTACTTGGCGGAAGCGGTGCGTCTGCTCGAGAGAGGTGAGAAGGGCGGATTTGCTGTTGTGACCAGTCAATCAGCCTCATCAGATTCAATTGGAGAGACTGACAAAGCGCAGCGATACGGAAGAGCGGAGCAATTAGAGCTATTCTAATGTTTTCGCAGAAGAATCACAGCCGGCAAATTGATTAAGTATAATTAAGTCGAGATCTTGCAAAGCGCTTCACACAAAGACTTTTCTCTGAATACTGGAAATTAAGTGCGGATCTTTATTATTCTGGGCTTTTTGGAAAGATCTTGCATCATTCTATAGCTTTTCTTAACATCAGAAGCTCATAAAATTGTCCTTTTGACACTTTTCCTGTGATTAATTAACACTTGCTAAGAAACATGATTTTTTCTCAGTGCGTCGTAAAGTGTTAAAGAGAATTCACCGTAAGCAAACAAATTGAGCTTTAATTACACAGATTTATTTACATGTAAAAAATATCACTTGCAAAGAAAAGCAGCAATAATGTTAACAATTTGTCCAACACATCGCAGTTAAGTGAGAAATCAACTTGAGAAAAAATGTTTTAAAACTTTAGCTCAAGTGTGCGAAAAAGCTCTGCTCTTCCCTATGTTTTTGAATGCGAGAATGTCGAGTGCTCGTTTTGTGCGTCTCTTGAAACTCCAGTTTTCCCATTTCTTTATCTGATAAGACGAGATAGACTTGAGAAGCTTGTCATGCTTGAAGCAGAAGCAAACAATCAATCGCTTTCCGTCTTCCAGGCGACGCTACTGCCAAAGACATCGACATCGCCATGAAACTGGGCGCCGGCTACCCGATGGGGCCTCTTGAGTTGGCGGACTACGTTGGCCTGGACACCACGCGCAACATTATCAGCGGATGGCACGAGAATTTCCCGGAGAATCCGCTCTTTCAGCCCATCGGGACGCTGGAGAAGCTGGTCCAGGACGGGAAGTTGGGCGTGAAGTCCGGCGAGGGCTTCTACAGCTACAAGAAATAGCCTCTAAGACGCAGATTAGCCTATAATGTTCTTTTGATACGTGGAAACATTGATTTATGGTGGCACAGGAATGGTTCTTTTACTCGGCGCACTGATAAAGGCCGCGTGGGCGTGTTCCCATGTCATTTGCGCCAAGTGAATTGCGTTGGAAAAGGCTGTTTATTAGCGCCGACAATGCCTGTGTGAATTAATCACACGTTAGTTTATTCTTCACTATATTTGACTCACTTTTCGTCCATTACGTCGCCGATAAGTGAACCGAAGGTGGTGCCAAATTAGTCATGAGCAGAGTTGAGTGATCAATAGATCAGAGATTTGGGAGCAAGTTGAAGGGATTAACCCTTGAACATCAGTTTTACTTGTGACTGGATAGTTTAGAAACGATCTGAAGTTAATTTCTATATGAAAAACTTATTTAAAATATAATTTTAGTGTCTTTTACCCTAAAAATTTGCCAGGAAATGAGTGAAAATAGTTTTGTTTAACGCTAACAATATATTGTTTTTAATTTAACATAGTCAAAATAGTATTTTTTAGTATTTGATTATTGAGATTTCTATCCATAATCTTTGATCTATCAAAACTTCTTTGCAAGACTCCTACCAACTCAGCCGTCAAAGTCGTTAATGTGAACGTTAAAAGGCCACTTCAGCTTGCTTGAAACCTCTTTCTTCGCCCAATCAGTCGCTGATAAACTACTAAAGTGTGAAAAGTGCATTCAAGACACTAAGAAAGCCCAGCAGAGCTGCTCATTTTCGGCTGAATGTCGTAAGTTAGCTTCCACACGTTTATCGGCAAATCAATGCTGGGCAAGCGTGCTTTATCAACGCAATCGCGGGGGATAAAGGTGATATGGGAGTCACGAGATCAGCAAGAACAAAAGCGCGCGGGCAGGGATTAAATGAGGAAGAGTGGCCGAGGCAAAAAAAAGACACGAACATGAGGCTTTTGCGTAATTAATCTGTGCTGGACGGTTTTCTATCCGCGCAAAAGTTGATTTCCCAAATGGACTTTGGCAGTCGAAGTGGTCTTTTTGAGCCAACTGGACGTCTTTTCTCAGTGGTTTGTTAACGCAGTGTTTTCTGGACTTTCTTTGCAGGCATGAGTCGACTTAAGTTGCCGCCGTATCAGCGCAAGAAGAACTCAACAGGTAAAAAAAACCAACGCGGAAATCTCATGGGAGAGAGAAAGTGAAATTGTTTGCTCACAAAAGTGATTTATCGTCACAATATTGAACGATGGTGTCTCGTGCAAAGTCTAGCATTGCAAACTCATTTGTATTCAGCGCCATGGAATGATCTCATCGCGGAGAAGTTCTCAGAAATTCCCCACCAATTAATGCACTTTCGCTAAACCATGCATTCTACGCTCAATCAACCGCGTCGCAGTGCATTATGCGCTTTTTCTGTACGCTAAGCGTGATATTAAGAGGGAATATTGGGTGCAGAAGGAATCAAAGGGGAGATATTGTGGTCAGAAGTGGTGTACAGTTTAGTGAAAGTTACTAAAAAGTGCAAGTGCCAAACAAAATTAGCAAATATTCCTGTCTTAAAGGCTTAATTTTTCACATCAGTTGGCGAACTTGTTTCAATTCCTTTTGATTCTTACATGGAATGAATAGATTATATTACTATTCGAGGTTATGTCACTCAACGAAAAGATATCTTAAGTAGGTTGAAAGACCTGCAAAAACATAATTTCTCACGCTTAGGCTGGGAACATTTCAATTTATTAGTAGAATGAAATTTACATACAATGACGAGGCGATAAGAAAACAAACACTGTAAAAGTAAATTGTGCTAAAGTCGAACATAACCACAAAAAAATATGTTTTGGATTTTGAAATATATTAATTTAAATAGTTTTCTCGTCTATTTTTGACTTAGGAATTACAATTTTGAGCTTATTAACAAGTAGTGACAGATAGAAATATTTTCGTTTTATACTCAAGAAGTTCTGAGTATTTTTGGTAATGTTGTTTCGAGGTTATGTTGAATTACAATTCTGTAATTCTGAATTGTCTTATTTTTTTTAAATTAATAATCCCATAATTTTTCCTAAGATTTCTTCTAATATCCTTATAATAAGTTAGGGAACTCCTTATAATATACGACGAAGTTTGAGGAGTTGTACAGATTTTAGTCTACTCTTTCTCCCTTGGCAGGAGCTTTTAGAAAATCTGCCCCACCGACGCTCTCGGCGCCCTTCAGCGAGATGACTTCCGTCCCCGGCAATTTGCCCAAGCTGCCCGCGGGCTGCGTGCCGCTGGAGACGCAAGTGGCGGGCCACACATTCCAGGCCGGCGAGATTGGCATCCTGCGCGAGGCTGACGGTACGATTCTCAAGCCCGCCGCGAAGCCGCTGTGCGGCGCTCGCGAGATTAAGTTCTACGACACACTGCTGGACGCCACGGAGCCCAGCCTCGTGGCGCTGCGCGAGCTGGTGCCAGAGTATCGCGGCACGCAGAAGCTGTTCCTGGGCGAACGCTACGTGGACTTCATGAAGCTGGTGGACGCCACTGAGGGCATGCTGGAGCCCTGCATCATGGACGTGAAGATCGGCGAACGCACGTGGGATCCACTGGCCACGGAGGAGAAGCGCGCCGCCGAGGAGCAGAAGTATTTGGCGTGCAAGAAGGCGTTGGGCCTCTGCATTCCCGGCTTCCAGGTGTATCACCTGGCCAGCGGCCGCCTGAAGCGCTACAGCAAGGACTACGGCAAGAAGCTGAACGAGAAGAGTGTGCGCGACGCGCTGCGGATCTTCTTGAACGCCGACTCTGGACTGTGCAGGGCGCTGCTCATGCAACTGCTGTCGGGCCTGTGGGCCATCCAGAAGTGGGCGCGCACACAGAAAGCCCTCCGACTCTACTCCAGTTCCGTCCTCCTGGTCTACGACGCCGCCAGGCTGCGCAGCACAATCCAGGCGAGGAGGAGAATCAGGTGAGGCTCAGATAAGGAAGAAGGGATCATAAGAAGAATTTTCATGACAATTTCCCAAAATCATGTGATTTTGCTCTTAAACTGACACCTTGCGAGGGTTAACCATTGATTTTCTCTCTGGTTTTCCTCGCCAGCGCTCCGAATGGCAACCCACCGACGCCTCCAACGGCCGAATGCAACGGATCACCGTTCAATTGGACCGCCGCTCCTGCGGATCCCGTGCAGTCTTACCAGAAGATCCAGCGCAGCCACTCGGCGCAGAACAACTACGACCAGGACCTGAAGGAGATCCGCGATCAGTATGCCTTCATGCTGCATCGGCTGACTGGCGAGAGGAAGGAGTGGGCGACGGTGAAGATGATCGATTTCGCGCACGCCTTTCCGGCCGACGAGGACGCAGTGGACGCCAACTACTTGTTCGGCATCGAGAACCTGGTGAAGATGTTCGAGGAATTCCTCAAGGAGTGCGACTAGGCACGCAGTATTACCGTAATCATACTCTCTTAAGCACACACACACACATACACTTTTGTACACAGGATAAAGATTATGTCTTACAAATTTCACGACTTCTTGCTCATTTACAAAACTCGGTGTGTACAATTTATACAAAATTTCTGCTATTGTCTGCAAGGAATTGTGGCGCGAATGTTTTCGGTTTGTTGCACAGAGAAATTGATGCTTTTGCTGAGAAATGCAGCGCAGTTTATAGGCCTGACGAGCCTCCGCTTTGGCCCAGCACGCGGCTGTTGTAGGCCGCGTTCATCTGCTCCAGCAGGATGAACGTGAGCACTGTGTGCGGCCCGAGACGGGCGAAGTACGGCGTGAAGCCCTTCCACAGCGCGAAGATGCCCTCGTTGCGAACCACCTTGAGGATCACATCGACGGCGCCGCGATACTCGGGCTTCCCGTCGACGACCTTCATGTTCTGGATGCGCGTCTTAGCGATGTCCACCGGCATCGAGGCGGCAGTGGTGATGAAGCCTGGCAAGAAGGAAGAGATATTGGCGGTAAAATGCATTGAATATTGAATTCTTTTGATTAATTTGCCTTTAAAAAGAATTCGATTTGAAACATTAACAATGAACAATGCTCACCAGAAATCATGCTGGCCACGAAGTGCGTCTGGATGCCGTCGGCGAACTTGCCAGTGCTCAGCAGGTACTCCTTGGCCTGCGAGTAGGACGCCAGCTGTGCCATGTTCACCACCATGGCTCTGCCCATGGTCGGGATGCAGCCGCGCCACAGCATCAGCACGCCCTCCTCCTTCGCGATCCTGGACAGCGCATTCACCACGCTCGTGTAGTTGCGCCGCTCGGCCAGCGGCAGCCGCCCATCGGCCGTCATGCGAATCAGCGACACCTCGGCCGGCGTGCCCACGAAGGCGCCCGTGGCGCCGGCGATCATGCCCATGCCCATGCGCTCCAGCAGTCCCGGCGCCTTGTTCTGGTGCTGCCGGTACGTCTCGCTAAGCGCCGTGAAGACGCCGAGGCGCGTCGTGGTGTACGTCGCCTGGCGCAGCAGCCCGGCGCCGATGCCACGGTAGATTCCGCTCACGCCCTCCTTCTTCAGGATGCCCGTGAAGGCGTCGAAGGTGTTCTTGTACTCGCGCGCGGCGCCACCCTCGCCCTGGATCTGCATCCGCGTCTTCACGAGGTCCAGCGGCTGCACCACGCAAGTGGCGCCCATGCTGCAAAGATTCCACCAATGCAGCACTCAAAAGTAGGTCCATTGGGATTGAGAGAATGCTAAGAATTGTACTAACTGAAGCTATTTGGAACAAGTGAGAATCGAACCGACAGTCAAATAGAAGTTATTTAAAGTGTTTAAAGTTAAGATCGTGGTTTGCCATAAACATTTTTAGAGCTTTCGTTCATTTTGTGATAAGAAAATGTGATAAAATTGTGGAAAAATTAAAAATCAGAAAATATATTCATTATTGCTTTGAATAATGAATATTTGAAGCTTATAATATTAAATCTCACATTCGTTTCACATAATAAGATATGAAAGAAAGGTTGAATGAGGTCCTAAACTTTGGTACTCAAACAACTCATACTATTAAAAAGTCATATTAATAGTAAATATAATTAATCTGTTTATAATTCTGAGTCGAAGCGTGAGATTTAGAATAAGTCAAAGGGTGAATTTCTGAAAGTAAATCCACTGATAGTTGAGAGAAAAACTTTTCCTAGACAATAAAACTCCCTAATCGAGCAATGTAAGCAAATTCCTTGACATTTTCTCTATCTCTTGAGTCACTCTGGCTGTTAAATATTGATTAGATATGCACCAGAACATTTCCATTTGTCGTTTCTCAACTGCTTTGCCTCACATTGCAAAATATATCTCCTCTTGACTGTCGCACAAAAAAAAGCATCTTTTCTGTGTCTTTCCTAGAGCTTCTCGCCACTGTGAAAATTGATACGATAAATATTATCACACAGTGAGAATCTCATCGACTGGTGAGATTGTGTAACTGTCCGGGCATTTTTTCTGCCAAAACAGCAAATGAAAGAAATGGAGAGTTATCAGCAATCGATTGATTGCCTTTGGCTTGGGCGCGACTATAAATAGCGAGCCGGTAATTGATTTTCGTGGCCGCGCTTTCGCCCTACTTTTGCATATAATCTTGTGCCAATGTTCGCATCATATGCAGAAGCTATTTCTGGCTGCAGCATCTGCAGAACTGCACGCTGGCCTTGACTCATTGATCTTGTTGTCTGGGGTGAAGATTTCCGCGAGGAAGACAGTGTAAATTCATGATAATTTACGGGTTGTTTGAGTAAAGAGAAAAAAAAAGCCCCCATTAAATGGTCCATAAATTATTATGTAACTCGCGTCGTACGTCTTTCGCCTGACAATTTGCTCCAAAAATAACTGTCTCGAGTGATTCTTTTAGACGGGTTTTTGCACTAAATGAACCAAATTTACACAGAACAGTTTATTTTCATCCTTCTTCACTTTCCTCAGTAGACTTCAGTGCCGCTAAAGGACAGATTTTTGCACTCTTTGCTTACCCAGCGAGACCTCCGAAGAGGTACTTGATATATCCAGGCTGTTTCTTCTTATCACTCATCTCAACTGCGGGCAATCATGCAAAAGAGCACCAAAAGTTTCGCAGAAACACGTTTTTCACGTTAATAAGAGTTGTAAAAAGATAATTAATTATTCGATTAGAGACTTGATATTTTAACAGCTAAAATCACTAAAAGTAAACGATTGTTGCCGGTGATTTAGCACGTTTTTTGGTCGTTGGGCGTGTTTTCGAGGGTTTTGTGCGATTTGTGGGTGAAAACAAGAATTTTGCACTGATTTTTCACCCCAAAATCTCGAACACAAATGCAATTTTTTCCACTAAAATCGTGCCATTGACGTCTTTGCCGCCCAAACCGTACAAATGTGCCCGAATTCTGACGGGAAATTTCCAACGCCAACCAACAGTAGATGGGAAATTTCAGCAGTTTCAATCGCCAACGGTCGCCTTCACGTGTGAAACGAGTGAAAAACGACACACTTGATCCAGGAATCATTTAATTGAGTCAATGACATTACAATGTTGTTTTTGGTGCTCATTATAAATAAAAAATGTCCACTGTGCTGATTTTCAATTTCACGGAAAGTCAAATTGAACGATATTTCTTCTGTTTCTTTTTTTCTTTCTCCACCTCTTATTCTTAACATCATTTAATGCGCTAATCAATAATAGTTACTCCTAGTTTAGAGACGAGAGTTTGATATTTCATTTTAATACTTAGTATTGCACATTTTAGCTACTTAGTCAATATGTCAATGCATTTTCTTTTAATACAATTATACTCTTCACTTTTTGGGGAAGTTTCACAAACTCAAAAAAGAGGAAACTAACTAACAGAGTTTTTTTTAACAACATCAGTCGATTGTTTTTGGGGACATTTTTTTTCCTACTTTGGGCAACAGTGCGCTTTTTTTTTGGGGTTGTGGAAAGTGTGGAAAATCAACTGAGATTTTGGAACGTGCTCTTTGGGAATTCTCTTGCATGACTCGAAAAGTGTCGACGTCTCGACTTGGTTAAATTGACTAGTAGAGAAACTTCCTTTTTGGCTTCATCATTTTAATCCGTCATTTCACCGTTGATGCGCCTCCGTTCGCCACTGAAGCCGGTTGGCTGGATTGCGTGGCCGGCTGACTGTTGGCCGCCGACGACTGCGTCTGTGGCGGCGACGAGCGCGCTTGAGCGTGCGTGCGAAGCTTCGGATCCAGTCGAATTGTGCCGCAGATCTGCAAAGTGACACAAAAGTCGACTTATTACAGGCTCTCAACCTAAAATACGACCTTGAAAGGCCGGCCTATTACCTTTATGTGCTGCTCCCAGTCTTTGTGCTGGCAGAAGGCGGAGCAGTACTTGGCCAGGCCGCATCCTGAGCACGTCTCCGTGGCCTTCCGGCCGCACTTCCAGCACACGTTGGCCTGGGTCTCTTCAGGTGGCGCCTCGGCGCCACCCTTTCCCAGTTCAGCGAACAACTTGTCCATCTTGAGTCTCTCCTGGGCAACAATCTCCACCGCTCGAGACTCTGCAGCCGCCACGGCGCGCTGAATCTCGATGACGGCCTGACGCTTGACCTGGTGGTGGAATAGAGCTTAGATTCTAGGCTGACGAATCTCCAAAGTAAGGCTAGGATACCTGATTGACGGCATCTTCTGCGCTGCGCTTGAATTCAGCCACTTTCTCGTCGGTCAGGCGCTTGATTTCCGCCAGGGACGCCTCTTGGTAGCTCTGGTGCGAATCTGCGCCCCTCTGCTGGAGGATCGTGATGGCTCTCTTAGTCTTGTCCACCATCGCGGAGATGCAGTTCAGCATGGTGTGGATGTTTTTCCACTCCTCATCCGATCTGGCGCCGCGGAAGTCCAGCGGGCGCACATCTGATCGCTCATCTCGCGCGAAAGCCGGCTTCTCGCCACCAAAATCCGCGTGCAAGTGTGGCGCGAGTTGATAGTCGAAGAGCGGCGTGTGCGCTGGCAGAAGATGAGCGGTCGTGCCGCCGCTCAGCATCAAGGAGTGGTGGGGTCTCTTTGACGGCACGGAGTGCTCACTCCACTCGTGCTGGTGCTGACTATCGAAGAAACTGGGCAGAAATGGGAGGATTAGCGATAAGCAAGAGGTGTGGGCCGAATCAAACTCACTTATCCGAGGCGCGGCGCTTCAGGAGGAGCCCGTTGCCGTTGATAGAAGCACCATTGCCGCCGAAACTCCCGCCTTCGATGGGGAGGAAGATCTCCGAGTGCTCGGTGGGATTGTGGGCGAATTCGAACACAGAAGTTTCATTGGAGCGCACAAACTGGCTCACAGACTGCCGAAGAAAAGTGAGAAAGCCATCAATCGCCGGTTTTTCTCTCCTAAATATGCAGATAAAAGCAGCCCCCCGCAAGAAATCGATTCGCGCGCACTTCACCCTTGCATCTGCACAGGCCAGCAAAGTGGTGAGGAAGCATATAGCCCCATACCCTGCGTCAACACCCCCGAAAAAGCCGAGTTCTGAGCTCCACACTAAATAAAATTCAGTGGCGGCAGCTTGAATTGACAGGCACAAGCTGTTGCCGCTCTTTTGCACTGCGGGGCGCCAGAGTGGGTGGCGCCCCCAGTCCACGGCCGCCCCCCTCAGAAAGTTGGAGGAACAGCTGAGAGCAAAATACGTTTTCTGTTTTAATCTTTTTGAAAAACACCGCGCAGCTGGTGCGCCACCCCTTCTGGCGGGTGGGCATTGGGAACACATTGTATTTGCGTCATTTGTCATAGAACGAATGGGCGGGGGAGTTTGCCCAAGTTGATGTATTTGCCAATTTGGTGCTCACAGAGGCGACACAGAGTGCACTTCTTACCTGATTGCTAGCCCTCGCCAGGACAGTCAGCTCCCTCTGCAGGAGCGGCATGTGAGCCTTGAGGAAGGGCAGCACGTAGGGGCGCAGAGGGAAGTTCGTCGCCTCCTGGAGGGCCACCTTGAACTCCTCCGCCGTCAGGCCGCCACTCTGCAAGGAAATGTCGCTTGTGATGAACTATCGTGCGAACAGCCTGAAAAGGATCAGTTCTAGAAGTGTCAGGAACTCACAGCCAATGATAGCACCAGGGCGCGCACTCTGTCGCCCACGTCCGGACCAGAGTCCTGGCCGAACTGCACCAGAGCGCCCAAAAAGCGCCTTATCTTCACGAACACGCGCCCACTCTCCTGGGCGGAGGTGGGAATGGCGGCCAAGAGGGATGAGGGCGCGGCCGCCGGCGGAGGCGTGACAGAGCCGCCGTTTAGGACCCCAGGAGAAGTGCTGCCAGCCCCATTTCGCCCCGAAGACGTGGTCTGAGTGATCTGCGGCGAGAGTGGAGATCGCGGCGCTACAGCGCGCGTGCCATCGGGAGAGTCAGGAGAACGGCACTGATCCTTATCTGAAAGCAAATTAAATAGAAGGATAAGAATTCCGATCAAGATCAAAAATGGCGGGAAAAATATATTAATGTTCAACTGTAAAAGACCATTTTTATGAAAAATATGTTTTTAACTTCTGTGTGTTAAGGATTTATAGTCAAGTAAATTTCTCGGTTAAAATTTTGATCCTTCAAATTAGTTACGATATGTGTGCTCAACTCTTCATAACTCAGATGTTTCTGAACGGATTTTCATCGTCTTTGGTGCAAATGAAAGGCAATTTCATTTCCTAAAAATCTTTAGAACTCATCGAGACTGTCAAATAAATGCCAGTGACTGAATTTCTCGCCATGGTGATTAAAGGTTGCTTGTCAGTTGTTTATGGTCATTTGTGGGTCGTTTTAATTACACCACCACAAGCAATTTGAACAAAAAGTCACGACAAGAGCGTGAGGATTGGAAATATTTGGTGGTGTGTTTAATGAAAATAGGTACTTAAGGGCCCGCGGGGCGCACCAGAGGGGGTGTTTTCCCAGGAGGAGAGAAAACAACAGACTTGCAGAGTGGAAAAAAGTGTGGAGGCGAGTGGATGGGAAAATTGGAAATGTAAATGATGTCGTTTTCCATGTTATATTTTCATTGGAATATTAATAAAGTTCTCTTCTGTCTACATAAATTATCATTTCGATGGACACTTGTTCCAATTCTCATCCATTCACTTGAGCTCTCTTTTTTCTCCGCCGTCGCGCGTCTCAATTTACGGTATTTGAAGTGTATTCTAAGCAGGATGAACGGGGAAGGGATGCGCCTTGAGAAGGTAAATATTTGCTAAAGACCGCTGTTGCCGAGTGCCCAAGAAGATTCTTGGAGATTGATGGCCATTTTCTCATCATTATCGCGCACATTTCGCGCTCTTGTAAAACTTATTCATGACACCGTTGTGATTATGTGTTTTTCATGTGTATCAATGGATAATAATTAAATATGATTGAATACAAATAAATAATATTATATTTGTACATTAGAGACCAATCAGATTAATTAGGAATGATATTTTTCTGTTGGCTTTTCACAATTGTGCACCAAATGTGACTTAATTGGGACGTGAATAGGACCAAAAGTGTCCACAAAATCAATATGGAACATTGCAAAAGGGACTCAAAATGCACTTTTTCCATTCTCAACCTCATGAGTGCATGGACATTTCCCAGTGCGGATGGATTTATCCAATCCAGTTGCACTTTCCCACTGAGTGTGGGTATTAATTGGATTTTCCACATTACCTCAATCGAGGAAGGGCTTTTGGGGTGAGTTTTGGGTGGGATTTTGGAATCACAGCCGCCAGCAACACATTAAATGACAAATCGAACCACCAGCATTGTTTAAACGATAATCAGAGTCTGGTTATCGGTAATTAATGGGCAGAACGGCTGCGTTTGTCATCACTGCTCAGTGATGATTTTTCACCACTCTTTCCCATGCCAATTCCCTCGTCAGCGCCGCAGTCTAGAAGGAAATCATCCCTTTTTCCCGAGAGCACCCAGGCTTTTGCGTAAATCCGCAAAAGGGAAGTGTTGAGCAGTTTAAAAATGCCGCCACAGAGATTGTCACGCCGTCCCTATTTTATTGTTGGGCATTATTTATGCCTGAACAAACTCAACATGATTCACTCAACACGATATTTGGTGCTCCATGGAAATGTTCAACATTGGCACTAGAATCTGAAATTGCCACCCCACGGGCGGGGATTTTGGGGTGGTGTGGGCGGTGCGCAAATTCCAGGATGGTTTTCACGGGTGGTTTGCCTAATTCGCATCTCGACTGGGAGAATGTCTCTAATTCATCACCGCCGAATGCCTTCTTCTGTGGCATTTGCCACATAGTTAATTAATTCAGAATCAGATGATGAGAATCAGTGGCGGGATTTAAGGCTCCGTTCAATTCAAGTGGGGCGTCACCAATCGGATGTTATTATGTAGTTTGGCAATACGAAAATAACAATTTTGCAACATAAGGCTGACTATCAAGAATTCAGAGATGTTTTGGAATGTAATTCAACATATCGTAATTCAAAAAATCAGAAGAGATTGCACTACTTATTGAACAAAACAAGAACAAATGATGAAAGTATATAGATAGAAATACAATTTAGAAAGAACGCAGTCAACTGAGGAAGATAGAATTCCGGAAAGAACCAAAAGTTAACTTCGTGTTTCAATGGATAATTCTTCGAGTTGGATCAAGTGAAAGGCAGTTTCACGTCCTTCAAAACACCCTTCTGAAGTCTTCAAATTAATTCAATTACATCTCGAACGCCTTTTCACACCCTCTCTGGCCGACCCTCGAGTGCTGTTGCTGCAGATGAACACATTTTTGAGGCCTCTTGTCACCACAATCACGATAAGTGGTTGCGATTTATTGACACAGGAGAGCAAATATAATCGACCAATTATCGATACTGCAAAAGTCATAAATGGGTAAATTGAGTGACAAATTAATTATAAATTCTACTGTTAATTTTATTAATTTTTTATCCCCTCGTCGCCCTTCTTTTGTACTTTTCACCAAGCCTGGCTTATAATCTGCACCGTAAAACAATGTGTAACTAATTATAAATCTGTCACAGCCAAACAGCCCCCGTCTGAATAATTTAATAAATTCCTTTCAAATACGTGAGTATGTGGGGGTGGCGAAATTGGCGACGCTTTCTCCCCCTTGGAAACCAATTACCCTCCCCTTCGGGCCGGCGTGTATTTACGCAAATGTGAATCGCGCTTTAGAAAATCCTCCGCAGTGCATCAATTTCTCGCCTTTAAATCCTCGGACGCGAAAGTTCAACCCATCAATTGTTTATAACATTGTGAGCTTGAAGGAGCAAAAAAGGCAAGAGTCCCGACAGGAAATTGAGGTGCGGGGAAGACGTGAATTGAATTGAGGCGAGCCAGTGTTTTTGACAGTTGATTTTCCCACAGATATTTAAAGCTCGCTCTTACGCTGCTTTGCCAGCCAAATGAATTTCCCACGGGACACTCAGGTACAGCTCTGATGCTGGTTTATAATTAAAATCCCAGTGTTCATCTTCAGGGGTTGAGCAAAAGCCGGAGATAGAGTGTCAGAGTGTCAGAAGAGACTATGAAAAAAACATTGATAAGCACTAGATTAACAGGAAATTTGCTCTCTTTTCTCATATTTTAATATACTTTCTTGTCAATATTGCAATTAAACTTGATATACAATTTAATTACCTGCTAAAACTGTACTGAAACACATTCAAAATTTAAGCTTATCATGAACTAATTTAGAGACTTCACAGACAGAATTTTAATCACGATACCTAAAACTATAAGTATTAGGAAACAACTGAAGACATTAAGTTATTAAGTCATTAGAACCCCGCATTACAATTATTATAATAATTATAGTTAATTTTACAAAATAGCAATGATGTCAGTGAACTCTTATACGTTCGTATTGATTGCTTCAGTGCAAAATCGATTCTTTTCTTATTTACAGAATAGAAAGCACAAATTTATCTACATTTTTAATATTTAATGCAATCTACCGCCAACGATTTCAATATAAACGCCCAGAAAATTTACATCCTCATAATTCTCCAGACATAACTTGATAATGTCCTCATTATCACGTCGTTAAATTCCTTCGCTGCGCAGTTAAAATGCCGTGGGAGTGCAGTCATGTGGCCGAACCCTCCGAAGTCTAAAAACTGTTTAGATTTGCTCGTTGAATTTAAAAGCGTCGAGCTTGTGGAAAAGGAGTGAAAATGAGATGCTCCCCTTTGATATCGAGGGGTGAATTTCGCCAGCTGCTCCACTTTCTCATGCTTTTCACCCAAAAATCAGCAAAAGCCCGACCAAATAGTTGCGCAATGATTGAAACAATGAGCTTTTCGACAGCACAATGATCTAGTTTTTTTTCCTCTCTTTGTCGATGCGCCATAAATTTTTGTGGCTGCAAAACATGGACGAAAAATTTAACAGAGAGAAAATGTGCGGTGTTTGGACTTAATTCTTATTTACGATAGACACCATGTGCAGAAATGCTTCTCGCTTTCGATACAATTCCCAAAATTAATTTCTTGCACTAAATGTGTGTGTGCTTTCCTGCGGGAGCTTCACAAATACTCGATTATCGGGAGCTTTTTTTGCAGCACACGAAAGCTTGAGACTCTATGTGATGTGGATGGGATCAGGTGTGCTTGGGTCACTATAAATTTTCGACTGCTTTGGCACGGCGGGATTAAGTTGAAATTTGCGCGCCTTCGGGCGATCGGGGGGAGCTTTCTTCCCACCCGCCGGCGAAGCTGAGGCCCAGGACGACCGCAGATCCGTCTGGGCGAGCTGTAATCCCATGCGACGTGTCTTATCTGCCGGAGGACGGAGCCAGGCTCGCGCGGCTGCCAAATGTGAGTTGGGGGTGGCAAACAGACATTGAATGTGGTAAACATTTGCCACCCCTTCTGCAACACGTGCCTGGAAAGTCACTCCTCAAATATTTGCTCAACTTCTTCCCCGGCAAGATTGGATTCACTGTCGCTGGAGATTAAAAATAATTGGTGCTCTCCTTGTTCTGGTACATTTCCCTCAATTGAGGCGACAGATGATAAGCCATGGAGACGGAAAAATGAGAGGAAGTTCATTCTCTCTCAGTCGTAATATTTGCTCAACCTCCCCACAACCGCCACCACCGTCCCATCAACCCCCGGGAAAAGTCCTGCGAGGAAAAACCTTCGGCGAACGTGAGATAAGAGCGGGTGCAGAGATTTTCACCAGCACAAATGCTAAACCGCACGTCATTATTCACCATCTGAGATGACCCTTAATTTCCATCTCACCGTTTTATTATTGTCTGCCAAACACTCTCAGGCGAATCTCAACGCTGTGAATTTTTTCCCCCAGTGACACATTTTTCAAGCTCCCGAGGACGTGTGCGCTTTCCCAATAGAAGCTCACCAATTTTTCTTCAACCGCCCACCTGCGTCCCCTCGGGAAACCATAAAATATTTTATTGTCACAACAATGTATTTTATCGCGGGAAAACTTTCCTTCGCACACGCAACAGAGCCCAGATAGACAAGTTTCGCCCTGATTGATGCGAGACTAAAGCTCCCGATGGGAAAAATGTCGGCATGGCCCATTAGGGAGATATTTAAAAGCGATAAATTCCCCATTTAATTCCTCCGCCTGGCTTTAATTTATATTGTCATTTGGTCACCAGATGCGTGTGGCATTGTTCTTTTGCCGACAATGAAATACAATCCTGAACGAGTGAGCGGCCTCTTGACCCCCGGCCTTTCGCCTCCTCGTCAGGTGACATTTGGTGGGCAAATATCTTCCTGGATTCCATTTGCACGGGTGAATGTGGAGTGGAATTAGGATTTGAAATTGAAACGACAACACCTGACGCCCCTCACGATCTCTCATGTCGATGGCTACAGTTCCCACCCAACTGTTCACGCCCCCGCCCGCCAAAGCTCTCTTTCAAACTATTTGTGAACGAGTGACTGATGGAGAGCAGAGTTGAGCGGTGATTAGAGGCAATGAGGATTAATGCGGAACATTTAATGTGCTTTGAAGTTGAGTAGTTTGTCAGGATAGAAACACGCCCACTCGTTAGCCCCGCCCAATAATGTGAATATCCCTGTCTTAAATTGCAAATATCTATGTTTTTGGTATTCCAGGATAAATCACGACATTTTTATATGTGAAAAATGTTATGTTTAGGCAATAACTGAAAAGAAAATTTGAAAATTCAGTCTTAAAAAAAACTTTTCAGAAAATCTTGAAACTACAAAAACCAGTCTCTGACCCTTTAAAGAAAAGTCCCTTTTCATACTTATTGTGCACGAAGGTTACAGTAAAATATGAAGATTAAGAATTTGAAATGTCAAAGAGTTGCTTCTGTTCGCGATTTCCAACTATCCAATCTTTATCACGAATCTTAGCGCGTGACAACTCTGATCCGGGCGAGCTTTTTTGGACGGGAGGCTCATTGTTGTGGGTCGTGGCTGGCTGGTGTATTTTTGGACGTGTCACCAGCTGGTGCGGTTTCCCAGCTTTAGAATTATAGATGGAATTTGTGTTAAGTTATAGATTTATGTTGTGCGCCGCCGCCCACTCTTCCAGATGCAGCGCTAGATGTTCGGCTGCGCCACAACACATGGCCGCAGCTGGCCAATGCGTGGGGATTTCACTCACCTTTGACCCGCCTGGATGTGGCCTCGTAGACGTCTTTGTCCGGGATCTCCTCCTTGATGGCCTTCCCATCCAGCGCCATGATCGTCCTGCGGGAAAAAGGGGGAATCACTGTCAGAATTGCACATTGTTGCATCAAGCGCGCCTAATGCAAATACGGGACAACGTGCCGCCCTGTTGATGGTAAATTCATGGCTACGGTGAGCCGTGATGCTCAGGTGGTGCAATTAAGAGTGTACGCAGTGGGAAAAGTGTGGGAATGTCGTCAGGCCCGCGCTCAATTTGAAGCCCTTCTCCGCCTTTTCCGGCTCCGCCATCCTATTAATACCGGAGCGCGCGAAACAGAGGATATGGTATTTATACATCCGGAGTGCCGGCGGCCCACGTGGGATGGGTCGAAACCCGAGAAAACCAATTTAATATTTGTACACCTGCAAGTGTCACACGCAAATCATCGCATTGTGGGACGCTCAACCCCCACCGCCTGCCTCCCCACATAATTATATGGAATTGTGCTGGAGGGGTCGAATCCCAGCCGCTTTAATCACCTTTTCCCATGAGAAAGTTCTCATATTGGGCACTGATTTCCAACCACATTTGCTCTGTGGCGCACCACCGACAACTTTTATTTATACATGGGGAGAATAAATATAAATTTTTTCGCCAGGAAGACCTTGTTCGGCCTAAAATGGCTGGAGAATTGCTAAACATTGGCGAAATGGGAGAAACTCAGGAAGTGTAGAGGAAGAGTTGTTGAGAAAGTTTGTGCCAGAGAAATTATAGATCGGACGGGATTATTAGACTTAAGCGCTTTAAAATGTGTTATCAAACAGATGAAATCTCTACAATAGTGAGTTTTATCTGTCTCTAATCGGAAAACTTATGTTTTCATATCCCAAACTTCATTGTTGTGAGAAGAAATAGTAAAACATTTAACAGTAATAACGAAAATTGACGTAGTTCTTCCAAATAATGCGTATAAGTCGGTGGAAATGTTTTCATAACATAAATTTTGAATTTCAGCAATAATGAATCATTACATAATGTCGAAGAATTAATTAAATAATAAATAAAATCATATCTGGTTTGAAATCTGAAAAAATTGTACTATTCTATCTAACCTTTATCCAGTATCAGAGTGAACACCGTGTAATCCAATCTTCAATCTACATTCATCAAGTCTGTCGCGTAGGAAAATTTGCTGAAATTCGAGGAATCTGCCGTCTCATTGAACATAAGGCGGCGAAGTGCACATGACAGTCAGCTGCTGGGCATCAGCAGCCACAAGTGCGAAATGTGCGAGCAGTTGGCGAAGCTCAGAGACAATTAGATGCGAAATTTCCTAGTTTGTGCCGAGAACATCTGCGACGATATGAATTTTCAGCATATCGCCCGACCTTGCGCGACAAATTGCCAGCTTTCGCCTCCACTTAATGAAAGAGATTCTCGCTCTGGTCAACAAACCCCGCGATAAATTTCTTAGAAATCCCCGCGACCATTGATTATTTTAATTGATACTCTCTAGAAATACAGTGCAAACTGTTCGACTTTGAGTCCTTGGGCAGTGGAAAAGGGGTTTCCCTTTGATGAGCGCACGGAAAAAAGGAAAAAAATAGAAGCGATGGGTAGAAAGTGAAAATATTCCCACACTTATTTTTCATGCATTGTAACAAAACAAATTACTATTACATCCTCTTGTGCTGGGGATCCTCTTCTGGCGGTTGGGCGAAAAAAAGGGACGAGGAAGAGTGCTTTGGAGTGTACACAAAAGCGAGATTGAGGGGATGTTCCGCAAAAGTGTTCCCTGTTAAGATGATTTATCAAAACTGAAAGACGCAGGGACTGAGGAGGATGGAAACAAATTACATATTTTCGTTTTAGACATTCTGTGCGAAAAGTGCCACATGGAGAGGAGCTCTGCTTCGCTCATCCCTCATCCCCGCACACACACACACACACACACACACACACGCCCTGACCCATCCTTGGGGCTCCTGTGAATCTGACACGTGTGCACTTTTTACTCCGGCGGGAATTTTCCAGCGCGCGCGATCCTCCCGATCATTTTCCGGGCGAGAACAATTAATTGCCCCCGGGAAATTTCTTCCCATGGAACATGATTGATTATTCCGGTTGAAGTTTTCTCAGGAGAAATTCACCCTGTCGCCGCCACTCTTCGTGCTCTTGTGTATTTATTTCACCTGTCACTGCAGGTGATTTGTGTACCCGAAGCTCTCTCTGGACTCACTTTTGCACAAAAGACCACATTTCGGGCGATTGCGAGCTTCCCGATTAAGTGGGCTCGAGAACGGACCAATTCTCAAGAGTTGCGATCCGAAACGGCGCCCAGAGTCACAGAAAAAGTCTATGGAAACACGTTTGTAGTCACTTGATAACATGAAAATATTAGACAAAGAGAAAAAGACATTTTCAGCACTCAAAAGATATTCAAAGTGCTTCATTTTATGAATTTACGGGTCAGACAAAATCTCTTTGTTCAAATTTTTGACACTTCAACTCCATATAAAAATTCCATATAATTGTCACCAGAAGAGGCTCTCTTTATTGCATAATCCGAGTCACTTGAAGTCAACTGCGGGAATCCAAAGATTCCAGTAACTTCTGCCTTTCGAGAATACGGTCCAATGGCGCCGGTCGCCGCCTCGGCTCGCAACGCGCCCGTGCGTGTGCTGTGAAGAGCCAGAGGGATGGCGACCGATTCTGGTGCCGTCTCTTGTTTTTGTCACAAACAGCTGACTCCACACTCCGGGCCGGGTGAAATGAATTGGAAGCCAGAGAGCATTGTGGCTGTTTTTCTGGGCATTCCTCGGCGAGAGCGCGCCATATGCCAGCAGCATGTCGGCGGCGTCATATCAGAAGGTCGCCGCATGAGGCCGCTGTGAGTGTGTGCAATCGACACATGGCACCCATAATAATGGCTTTTCTCGCACTCAATCACGACAGGAGTGGGAAAATTCATCAAAAATTGAATTATGCTGAGATGAAGAATTTCCCTCTCGACCCATGTGACACTCGTGCCAGATTTATCGTTTGACCCCGATTGCAGATTTTCCCGCTAAACGGCTGAAATTTGAATAAATTTTTCCCCAAACTGAAAATTATCGCATAACGCGCGCACTTCCGTTGGTGGGATATTCAAAAGTATATATATATGGCAATTTGAGGCTGGAAAAATCAATTTCACTCCCTCAAATAACATCCCGGAGAGAGAGAGGCAATTTGTAGATGGAATCAGGGACGCATTTGTCGAAAGATGCGCCTCTTCAGCATTTGCCATCATTGCCCAAATTACACTCCCAGATGCTTCCCCGCACCCTTGGAAGTGATTTAATTTTAATAGGATTACTTTTAGCGCGTAATTTTTCACCAAATGCGAGTTTTCAAGCCCCGAATGTATTAATGACACCACCATAAATTAACACGTTTCCCGGCGGAAGAGATTTCCCGAGCGGAATCTCACCGTCATTTCTGGGTTCTCAGGTGTTGGCGAACAGGAGCAGCCCAGGCAATAATTACGCATTAGTTGGAATGAGTGATATTTTGTATCCTTTATTTCCCAGCTCTTCTGCACTGGCACACAATTGTCAAAAAATGATAAAAATTCACGACATGCGCTTGAAATTGATTTGGCAGAGGGGGTGAAATATCCAAAAAAAATACCGCTCGCGAAATGGAGTTTTGCCATCGCGCGAAACGATAAAGAGTAGCGCAAAAAGTGTCTGCAATGGATCAAACAATTTTTGGACGGTGAAATGCGAAAGGCAGGGAAAAAAGGCCTTGTCACAAACAGACGCGACTGTTCGTCTCAATCTCATTTTCCTCCTGCCCAAATCACTCGAAATCCCAGGCATTTTGCAGGCTCACCCCCGCCCAGGCGCATTAAATGACAACTTTTGAACGATATTTTAATGTTTATTTCATATCTGCCTCTCCTCAGCCGTCGCTTTGGGGCCGCCGCTCGTGGGTGGGGCGCGCCCAGTGGAAGTGGCACCTTTTGCCGCCGAGGACAAATGCGGAGGGATATAAATCATCGACGTCTCTCGTATTATTCTGATTGGGATTTGAGTGCTGGCACAATTGAGAGTTTAGGAGGAACGAGAGGGAAACCACGCAGATGCACTTAAGGGATGTTTGTAGATTAAACACTCGCTTCGGATGGAGTTTTAGCCGTTTTACAGAGCGAAAACTGTATAATCTTTAGAGCTACCGTAAGGTTGAAGTTTTTCCATTCACCTATTATATCTCTACTAGATATTTTAGGACATTCCTATAGAATTTCACAGGACAATCCTTTAGAATTTCATAGGACAATCCTATGGTGCCATAAGATAGAAAGGTTGACAAGAATTATCATTCTATTAAGCTGTTATTGCGTTTATTATGTCCTCGTGAATCAGTAGTGAATTATCAGGTAATTATAACGTTGGTTTGTCCAAAGGATCTCAAAGAACTGTCTAATGTCGGCTTCATATTTTTCAATGGCCCCAGAGAGTTTCTCACCTGCAATTTGCACTGCTCTAAATAGCCATTTCAGGGCGCTACTTGTGTAAGTTTTCCCATAAATTCTCACCTTCCCGCCAAAAGTGGTCTAATTTGAAGATTCCCCTGAAATTCTTGGGCAATTTTCAAGGTGCTCCCATTGCGTCTGTGGGTGGCTTCTGGTGTGGGTAAGGCATGAAATTTCGTTGGAATTTTCAGCCAGACCAGCAGCAGTGAAACCCAGCAAACATCGCTGCTCAAACAGAGCTGATTGCCCGCATTTTAGCCATCATTTTAATTGGGTCAAATTAATTTTTATTTCACTCTCACCCACTCAATAACACGCAATTCGCCGCCACATTTCATCCACTTTTCTCTTCACCCCCTCTTGGGAAATTCCTTGGGCGGAAAAACACCCGTCAAGGAGTCGGAGAATCATCTCTCGCAGGGATTTCCCATTCCGCCGGAAGAACCATGAAGAACAATGTGTTATGGGGAATAAACAGTGCGATGAAAGTTTCTGCGGGCTTCAACTGCAATCAGGATGGATTCTGCGGGCGCCGTGAGAGTTTCTCTCTCACATACTCAGGAGGGAAAATGGGCAAAATTGCCACCCAGAGAAAAACTCTTGACAAAAGTCACTGTTTAACAGCATGTGCTTCCTCTCAATGATGTTTGCGTAGGTGGGCAGTATTTGCATTCTTTGTCTCCCGTTTTTCACTGTGCCTCGAGATGATGTTTTCAGCACACACAGTCGACGCATCTGCAGGCCAGTTGGGCCAACACAATGGCGCGCACACACATTCCGCAATTGCCAGCCAAACAGCCCAAGAGTTGAGGAAGGACTATCTAGATAAGTTCAATATGCAGTCACTGCGAGGAAATCCATCCTTATCATCGCATCCTGTGATGCTGCACAGAGAAATACTCGTCTGGAGATTGTCTCAGTGAAGAGCAGTGGATTTATTTAAAAAGAAAAGGCCATTCCCGGATTGTTTACTCAGTGGGGAATTGGCTCGGAAAACACACGTGCAGGGGCAACAAATATTTTGGGATGGGGCGAGAGAGAAATCAGTTTGATGAAATCATCGGCGGTGAGATTGAACAGATTCGTGCAAGAGACGCCCGGCGAGAGGATGAGCTTTCGCAGCATCCGTGCAATTAGCCAGGAAAAGATCACTCGCGATTGATGTAGCGAAGCCAGAACACGTGAGGAATGCTCAGCATGAGGATGTGATGATCGACTCACGACCGAGTCTGTTGGGTTGAAGAGCACACGAGATCGCTTGCTTAGAGAATTACACTGAGAATGAAAACTGTCTTTGAAATACTATGAATTTATCTAAGGATTGAGGTTGTTTTTGTTGATTTTTAAAAGTGTAAATATCACACTATACTCGTGTGTCTTTATATTTGATCACTTTGAGCGTCTTTGGGTATTATTGCAATGTTTCACAAAAACCACTGTACTTAAGGTTCTCCTTAACCGATTTCAATGAAACCAGGTTCATTTAAAAGCTGACAAGATTTTCTAAACCACTCATCTTTTCATGTTTTGAGCTTCAGAAGAATAGAGTTCGGCTCGCACGTTGGAAATCTCTACAAACACCGGCAAATGCAGAATCTTGGCGATCGTGAGCGTGTTCTCGGCGGGAAATCTCGCACATGGCGTGTCGACTTGAGAGAGTGGCTGGCGAGAGTAAATAAACCCAGTTGGCAACTTCCACCAACTTTTCCGACGGATCTAAGGCGGTCGGACATGGCCCAACACTTGAGATGTGACGCTGACCAGAACGCGTTCGCACCCAAGAAGCACACCCATGGCTTCTGCTTTATCTCTCTCGGCCGCGGAAGAGGCGCGTATTTATCTGGCCAGAGAGCAATTCCTTCGATGGTTGAGGATGGAAGTTTACAGCACGCACCAGTAAAATTGGGGAATTGTGAAGAGACACAGTGCAAAGCTCACGACGGCGCGCCTTTCTTCTGACGAATTCCTCGTGCAGATGCCTTTGAAATGCAATTAATTTCCAGCTCAAGCACCTGGACACCCTGTCATGGGCCACTTCCCCCTTTTCAGCTGTTCGGCACTTCTCTTTTTTCTCAGTGTTCCTGGGATGATAATAGTCTTTCTTGTCTCTCTTTTTTTTCAGGAAATATCGACGAGGGTTTTGTGGGTATTTTTAACAAATCCAAAAGTGTGTGTGTGTGTGTTTGGGGCAAAAAAAGAAGAAGAACGGTGAAAGGGTGTCTGGTTTTAGTCGCTTCGGGTGAGAAATTCCATGGTGGAAAAGTGAGAAAAGTCAAGAGAGACACGAGAAAAACATTTTAGACACAATATTTTCACTTCAGGGCGAAATGGTTCTCGTCAGAGGAATCACCAGGCAACATAGTGTCTGTTTACCATCGGATTTTTACCACCAAATGAGATACAAATCACCAGATAGATTCCAATCGTGGGCCTGAGCTTTTCCCGCAGAGTATCCTCCCAAAATAGTCCCAACACACACACACACACCCCTTTGCTAATTAACCCATAAGGAATTTCCCTTTGATTCGCACACAAAACCAAAATCACTACATGAAGCCATCTGCAAGTGACTCTTCCGAGTCCAGGAGAGTTGGCACTCGTGCTTGAACACCAGGGTGGCGTGGGTGGGCGAAGACTGGCCCCAAGAGAACGCTTCAAAGGTCGGAGGTGAGCACGGAGTGTGGATTCAAAGAGACTCAACTCCCAAATAAAACTTTTCCCGGCACTGAAATTAGTGAATTTGAAAAGGCCCGAGCGAGATGGAAAATCCCTGGGACTAAAACTTTGTACACAAAAGGCAACTCCCGAGGGGTGAGTCGAGACGGATGTTCTGCTGCTATTTATTCTTGGTTTTGTGGGTGGGTGGGTTGCAGCAGATGGAGCGTGTTCCAGACACCTGTGACCACTGGAAATTGTGCCGGGCTGGAGGGTGGGCTGATGCCGAGGCCAGCTGCACATGGCACTTCCTTTCACTGCCACCCGGCCCCACCCGCGCTGGGTGGGGAGCGCCCAGGGGGCGGCCAAGTGCCGAATAGAGCACTTGGCGCACGACAGGGTGGCAGAAAGGCTCTGCGCTCACTTCGATTTTTGGAAAAATCGACGAAACGCGACTCTTAAATTCGCCGTTGTGGTTTGAATTCCAATCTGACATTGTTTGACAACTCTCTGACAAGAAATTTACAATTTGACAGCAAAACACTGGGGAAAGAAGATATATAAATAAAAATTGCGTGGGATAAATGCGTTCCAATTGCCAGTAAAGTGACAAAACGCTTAAATTCAATTGAAAATCCGTCAAATAGAATACTTTCTAGTGAGTTTAGGTGATAAAGCAACCATGTTTGCCCCAAGGAGAATCATCTTTGGTGTGATGCTTAATGAAGGGTTGCGCCAAGCATTAACCCTTTCCAGACGTCGTCAGTGCTCAATGGTGAGGCAAATTCTGCCACATCGCGATGGTAACATCTGTGGCCAGATGGCGACAACAATCTGCCATCGATACAATGGAAAATTGCAATGTGTTGGCCACATTTTATTGCGCCCTCCTCCGAAAAAGGACCATTTCTGCATGACCATAAAACGCGCCACCCCAAATCGATACGCCATTGATTAGCATTTTCTTTTGAAGCCCAGGAAAATCTCCGGTCGCCCAACTTCCCTGATCCGGCGATTTAATAATTCATTGGGCATGTTAGAACGCCCCCCAAAATGGATTAGAGGGCCTCCATTCATGGGGCTCATAAACACCGTGTCACTGGGGCGGACAGATTCACCATTCATCACACCCGAATATTTCCACGGTCGCCAGGCGGGCTTCTGTGGGAAAAGCGCCTCACGTGACAGTCAGGCGAGATGCTTTGCATAAGAAATCCGCTCTCATTCCACTTCAATTTGCCGCACTATCGCAGAGTTTGTGTGGTTGCGACTTGAGGTTTGAGCACGTTTAGCGACAAATTGCGAATGTTTCAGCGAATATTTCGATATCGAGAATTGAGCAATTTATTGACTTTCCGCCAAAGTGTTGATGAAATTCGTTTCTACAACAGTTTTTAATCGATTTCCATTTTGCATCTATTTCCATTGGCCCTAAACGATATCCATGAATTGTCGTGAATTCCGCGCGAAACTTTGCACGAGTGCATGAAAGTTTAATGAAACTTTCCACCCTGTGGCCATGCAAATCGTACACGAAGACATACGGCAATTTCCCTTTGCAGCCACTTATTTCCCTATTTTCCTCTGCACACAAATCACATTCGACAAATAATTTTGAGTTGCTGTTCACGGAATGTGATTCCACTTTGCCACATGCCGTCTGTTTAAACATTTACACTATAATTGGCGATTGGGTAGCTATTTGATGCAATTTCACCACCGCAAAGCGGAAAACCCTTGAGCTTTTTCCCACGACTTCTTTAACCCCTTCGCAAACGAAATATTAATGAACGAGGGTTTTTTTTTCTTTCTTCCATTCAAAATGTATTTTCTATTCTCTTACCTTTGGTAAATCCTCTCTGTGATGTTGTGTTTCCCGTTGAAATATTCGGCGCCAGCGACAATAAGAACTCAATTAACAGGCTCGGAATCAACCAGCGGGAAAGAGGAAATTGAAAATTAATTGATAAACTTTTCCGGGAAAACTTCACTGGAAAACTCGACACTCCAGGCTACTTCTGACCGCCCACCCTTCGCGGAAAAAATGCCCAGAAAGCGCGTGAAACTGCTTCAGTCTCGACGACCAAGGAAAGGACCGTCCAAGTGACTCGAGTCTCCAAACTGAACTGAATTGCTCGCAGTCTCAACACTGCGAATGACCTGCTGGATTCTCTCTCTCTCTCTCTCTGCTCTCTTTTTCTCTCAGCGAGAGAGCGCATGAGCAGAGCGCGTTTGAGTTCTTCGGGGAAGTCGCGAACATCCTTGAGCGGCTCTTTGATGCCTTCACCAGGAGGAAATCCAAAGGAAATGATCTCGAGAACACGTCGGAAGTCTTTTCAGTGAATTCCTTGAATGGAAAGGAGAGGAAAATGCCATTTCAATTCGAAGAATTGTCGAATATTCTACACAAGATAAATTTTTGAATAGGTTTAAATGTGACATTTTGCACAAAGAGGATTCTATGGTGGGTTAAATAATTGGGAGAATATTTCTTGAAATATTGTAACAATAAAATTTAATAATAATCAGCCCAAAAGTGTTTGGTTGATTCAGTAAATATTGATGATTTATAATATTTATGATGATTTTTCAATCACTTTGTCTTTGAAATAGGGTAATAATTAATTCTCATATGCATAAGAAATGTCATACAAGAATTCATCCGAATTTCACAGGACAGTCTTATGTTGTCATAGGACAAATGTATTTGTTTTCAATATTTTCACCTCTTATTTCACACAGCAGCCACAATTTTACTGAATGATTCCAGTGAAAATAGCCGAAATATGCGAATACAGGCGGAAAAATGCTTCTGTTTTTTTCCCTTCTCGGCCTCTTTGGCCTCCCATTCAGATCCTCACTCTCTCAGCATCTTGAGAATATGTTCCGACACTGTGTAAGACAACTTAATCATTCTCGTCTGCTGGTGGCGTTTGAAAAATCACAACACAGACTTGGGTGGGTGGGCGAGTGCGCTGAATACATTGTCAGCAGAGGGAAAATCGCGCGCTGAATGTCTGGAAGCAGTGCTTCACCTGCTCATTTTCCCACACCCTCGGAAAAAGCTCTCAAAGGCCATCAAACTCCAACCACGGAAGCCCTCACTCGCAGAAGACACAAAAGCGAGGGTGGATTTATCCCACAAAATGGATTTTGATAGGTAAAACATTTGTCAAAATCAAACATTTCACTCAAATGATGCTTCAGGGAGACGAGCTTTTGCCACAATTTCTTCTGGGAACGGGAAAAAGTCTGCCTCTGACCACATCTCTAATGAGACGTGATGTACTTGATTTTTTTTCTGCCTGATTGATGTCAGCATTTACATTTCTTCCATTCTGCAACTTACACTTCTCGTGAGTGCAACGTTGAGAATTGAAGCTTGCCAGACAATTTTGATGTGCCGTCAATGTGCGTTGCAAAGCCCGAATTTTCAATCAAAGTTTCGAGGGGAGGGAAATGAGAAAATGGGAGAGGAAATTGCCAAAAATGTTCCTCTGTCTGAATGCAATTATTTCCACGTCAGAAGCAAAATCGCGGTGTGTGTGCGCCTATTGTTGAGGCCAAAAGTGCCACTGCAGTCGACTCTTAATTTAATTTCCCATAATCGAGCGTCGATTGATTGATTGACTGACACTTCTGTGAGCTTTTTGTTTTTGCCAAAATCCAACCCTCGTGCGCCAAATGAGATTTATATGTTTAAAGTCGATTTTCATATCTCCCACCTTTGGCAGAGAGGCTTAATTGTTATCCGACTTTGATGAGCTGCCGATGATTTCTCTCAGTGCAAAACCCTGCAAGTGACGAGCCTCTCTTCTCAACACACACTTCCTTTTGAATCTCAATTCAATGGTGCACTGCATTTGCGAGATTTATAGTGCTCTCGCCACAACATGTGAGTAAATTTGGGAAATAAAGAGCGCGCCACAGCGATGGACTCGCAGAAAATTGAGCTGTGAGTGGATGTGAAAGCTTTTCGGGGTGGTTTTTAATTTCTCCCCCCACCCAAGAAACACCACCCACGCGTGCCCATGGCAGAAGCTGAGGCTGTAAACTTCCCATTCATGCTCCGCGAGTGCCACTCGAGCGACTCGAGCCCTGAAGGTGAGGAGTGTGTTTCTGGCTCTCTCGACACTCGAGATGCAAGACAAAATAGCGCGAATTGGGCGCACAACAAGTGACAAAATCGATTCCGGCCATCGCAAGGCGCGCAATTGTGCCACCCTGTGCCACTGAAGACCCTCGTCCAGGTGAAGCCTAGACGAGGAGACGACATCTGCGCCTTCTGCAGCCAAATTGCAGCACCTGCAGACGTGCGTGCCCCTGAGTGAAAGGTGCCCGTCGAGGGCATTTCCTGGGCCATGTGCTCGACGGCACGTGGCGGCGGCAATTAGGGAAGTGCTGTTGAATTTGGGGTGTCCGAAATTCAATACTTGCGGCGCACGACGATAAATTCCGTTTTAATTTCAAATCGATTCACGTCGCATCCAATTAACGTGACAAAGTGGTCAGGCCAGTTCTTCACCGGTCACTGCGCGCCTTCGAGGATCAATGCCTTGGGCGCAGAGGATAGAGAGGAAGGTGATAAGAAAGAGGAGAACGAAATGGACCATTCCTGATCTGCCTCACTGTGTTTCATTGTGAAGAAGGTGAAGCGCTGATCTGCAAAGTTGACCAGAGAAAAAAGTAACGATCGACGCATACAAATTTGGTGTTTTATGTGTAACTTTGAAGCACAAGCTAGAGTTTTCTAGTAATTCACGATAGATTACGTTAAATTTTCTTGAGTTAGCTTAACTTAGCTAATTCATGCTAATAAGCTACACAAAAACACAGATTCTATATTAAAGAGAAATTGACTTGAAAGATTTTTCCTTTCACATTGTATCCAAAAGTTATGAATATTATTGCTATTCACTATTTTTATCTGATTACCTTTATTGACATTCTAAAGAGGATTGAAAGTCAGTTAATGATCTCGCCAAAGGCGAATTATCAAGTCTACGAAATGCATAAAAGGCGATTTCTCAAGAAGAATTACTTTCCATAAATTCCGAAGACGTTCATTAGCTTGTTCACTGGAATTCTCTACTAAATTAATTAATTATTATACAAATTAGCGACTAACATGTTTTTTTTGTTTGGAAATTATAAAAATACACCATTTTTTCACCTACAATTTACAGACTAGAATAAATTTTCCTTGAAAACAACACTTTTGAAGTCTTACGAGCAATAATTAATTTAAATTGTCACTTTATGACCATATTTAAACGAAATCTTTTATCCAGAACTCTAAGCTCAACTTTAAAAGACACTTTGCAGTTTTATTAACTATAATTGCATCCATACTTAAGGCTGAAACTTCCAATATAACTTTTCAAATAGAACTTTGACAGTTTTAAGAGGAAATAATCTTTTATCGTTTGACTTTCTTCAAATTATCAGCCTTGTTAATCAATAATGTCTTAGAGAAATCATGTGGAAGTACAAACACACATAAAAGACAAATAATTATTAGTCATTGCAGTCAGTAAACATTCTGCATAAAAGCAGGAATAAATAATAAATTATTCATTTAATAAGCAGTATAAGTGTCCTGTAATCTTGCTCTTCCTGAAACCACTTCCGTGGTAACAGTTCAAAGTGTCTTAACCCTGAGTTCTTAGAAGGGATTCTCATTCCTTGCACGGCGAACGCCTAAAATTAGAGCCCCTCCCATCATTCAGAGCCACTGAATAAATAATCGCCAGGAATCCAGTGACACACGCAATCTCGTATAATATTTAGCGGCGCCGAGACGCCAGCGTGGGAACGTCCGATTTTTCCTTGGAAAAGCCGTCTATCGCGCAATTAGAGGCGCCCGTAGCGTTCCCAGGAAAGTCCCGGGGAGAAGTTTTCACTTGAATTTTTCCGCAAACACGCGCGCTCTCCCTCTGGCAAGGACTGACGATTCCCACACTGCTTCGATCCATTCGCCGTGTCCGACAGCTTGACGAGTTCCCATGCAGGATTCACCTCTTCCTGTTTGCACAACTCATCCGCCACCCATCATATGCGCTTCCGTGAAATGTCGCATCTTCCAAATCCTTTTTGTATCCTTTTCCGCTGCATTGCATCCTGCAGCAGGAAGTATTTTAATGGAAAGCCAAAGACACTCCACATCGCTCTTCCTGGGTTTTTGGCGAGAAATCTTCAATGAGGAGACGTCAAAAGGATGTCTAAAGGAGCGCCATCAAAGCACTCGTGTGCGGTTTTCCCTCAATCTTGTCTCTTCCGCACGCAAAAATCAACTCTCAGACGCAGCTCGGTGTGTTTGTGACAAAAAAGGATATTAACTTCCCTTCTTGTGCACATTGAATTTCCTCCCGTTTCCATCAGTCGCAGGCACTGCGCGAAAATTGAATTTGTGCTCTGCCCAGCAAATTTAAGGGGAAATTCGGGGAGAATGCCGTAATTCCTCAATCGCACTCCTATATTTTGATAACAGTTGCTCACACAGTAAAAAAACAATAAAATCGACATACGTCACAGCCTAGCACTCCCACTCAGGATCTTCTCCTGATCGTCGCTGGTGAAGGGTCTGTAGACTCCGTCTGAGTGCAAGTAGTAGAGGGGATCCGACACCTTGGCCAGATCGTAGCCCTCGAGCTGCAGACCCAGCTTCTTCATCTTGAATGTACCCGTCATGGGCAGCTCGTCCATCAGGCGAATGAAGAGCGGTCTGGCGTAGGCCGGCAAGCATCCTCGCACGCCATTCGACAAGTTCTCCACGCTGATCTCCCGCTGCGGATCTACAATAGCCGCCATGCCGGCGCGGCCTTCGATGTGCGGAATCTCTACGCCGTAAACCACGCAATCGTGCAGACCTACAATATTGCTGATGACCGCCTCCACTTCCGACGTGGCCACATTCTCCCCGCGCCACCTGAACGTGTCTCCAGTGCGGTCTCTGAAGTAGAAGTAGCCAAAGATGTCCTGGACTAGGATATCGCCCGAATTGAAGTAAGCGTCGCCCTTGCGGAAAACATCCCTCAGGATTTTCTTCTCGGAGGCTTTCTGCAAAATTCAAAGAATACATTCTGTCAAAAATCTTACGAATAGGTGAAATATTCATGCAAAAATGAGGTAAAAACTACTTAAAACACACCGTTTCACCTTTTTTGGTGAATAGTTGCTAGAAAAAGACAAATTTATATCACAACTGTGCATTTTTCCTAACATTTAAAGTTTCTCAAACAACCACTAATGGCGCTAAAGTCAATTTTTTTGCTATACCTTGTCTGCGTATCCTCCGAAAGCCCTTGCCGGTGCCTTTCTTGTAATTTTCCCCAGGAAAATGCCCGCTTCTCCTGGTTTACACTTCGTGCAGCATCCATTGGCATCCCTCAGAGGTTCTCCTGTGTCTTCATTGCACTTAATAAGGGTCACTGGATACAGGAATTCCGCATAAATTGGCACAAATCCAACTGCGCCCACCTTATTGTCAATATTGGCTGCAAGGAGACCACAGAAATGCCATTAACGCTTCTTTGCACACTTGATTGACTCATACCCAGATTGGAGTTTCCCTCCGTGGATCCGTAAACCTCTCCGATGTCTTGGATGTTGAATCTGGCCACGAATTGCGGCCAGATTTGCGGTCGGAGTCCATTTCCGAACATCAAACGCACAGTGTGGGCCGTATCGTGGGGCTTGTCTGGCACGGACAGGAGATATCGGCAGATCTCTCCGATGTACTGAGCGGCCTGAGAGTTAATTAAGTCACGTTTCATGAACTTGAACTCGGCCAATTGGATGATTGGCGACTTACAGTGGCCTTGTGCTTGATGCAGTCCGTCCAGAAGTTGGAGGCCGAGAAGCGCTTCCGCAGGACGGTCGTGGTGCCGAGGAGGAACACCGTGCCCAGGCCCACCATGCCGCCGGCGGTGTGGTACAGCGGCAGCGGGTTGTAGATGACGTCGTCCCGGCGCACGCCCACCATGAAGCCGCAGCCCAGCACGAAGAACATGTAGCGGATGTTCGTGATCACGGCGGCTTTGGGCAGACCCGTGGTGCCCGAGGTGTAGATGTACACCATCCGGTCGGCCACCTTGCCCTTGTCCATCTCCTCAGTCGGCGGTTCCGGCGAGGCGGCGCGCAGGGCGTCCGTGAGCCCTATTGTGCCTCTTCGCTGGGGCAACTCTTGGCGCGTCTGCACTGGATCGTGATGCTGATAGATGGGGAGCTTTGCCATGTCCTCCTCGCTCCTGATCTCCTCAATTGCTGCAAAAGACAGAATACGCTCTCTGTGAAGAACTTTTTCAGCTAAATCTCCTTAATTTGCATTTCTTTCGACCAAAACCCTAAAAGTAAGCCATTTCTGACAATTATAACAAATCACCTTGAAAGATTTAATTAAGCTTTCATTTTCAAGAGTAAAATCGTCCTTGACTGATAACGCGTTTACATAAAATCTCGCATTAATTTACTCCTGGTTCAGTTGAAGTCAAGTAAAATCAATCTAACACATAAGAGTAATTAGAAGCGCATAGAGAGTAACTAAGTATGTAAATTGTACGGTATGTATTGCATATTCAATTAAGAATCGTTATAGTTTCCATTATTGATGTTCATCGAATCTGCATGAGTTGCAATATGACTTTTGATATAAATTATACGCTAATTTATGAGTTTTCGCTTGAATTTTCGCTAAGAATCTAAATTTTAAGAGTAATTATAGGTATAGTTGAATGAGTGGTGAATATCTCTTCTGGAAAACGGAAGCGCCATCACAAAGTGTACTTCCGGCCAGTTTCTGTGAGATTATCATAGTTAAATCATGGCCTAGAGTCGAATTTCTCTCACCATCCATCAATTCCGTCCCGACGATTACCGCCTTGGCTTCGGCCACTCTGATGGAGTGCAGAAGCACGTCTTTCCGCAGATTTGTGTTTATCAGGGCTGTCACGACGCCGATCTTGGACAGGCCGAGCCACATGCATCCGTACTCAGGCTTGTTCTCCATGAGCAGCGCAATCGTGTCGCCTCGATGGAAGCCTAGGGAGAAGAAGTAGTTGGCCACTTGATTGCTGAGATTCTCCACATCCTGGAATGTCATCACGTGGTCGTCAATCTGCAGGGCGACTTTGTCGGGATGCCGACGAACCACGCTCTGGAAAACATGACCCACAGTCCATCCGGCCATGTCCCAGCGCTTCAGGTAGTAGTTCAGCTTCACATATCGCACAAGGACTCTGAAATGCAACGACATCAATCATTGATTTTTCAGGAGATTTGTGCTTATCACTCACGTCATGTCCCTGGGAAGCGTCTTTGCAGTGACATAGAGCGCTTGTGGGCGATTTCCAGAGAACAGAAACCATCCAAGCAGGAAAATAATGCCCTGAACGATGAGATTGCCGCCCACGAGGAGGGAAATTGTCACAGTCACGGCCAGGATCACGCCGATCGTCACGGCCTTCTGCTTATCACTGAGTTGCGTTATCACCTCAACCATGTTACCAATCTAAGAAGTGCTCAAGAGTGTCATAATAGCGATTGGCAAATAGTGAAGAGCAACAGTGTGTTCATGAAACGAAAAAAAAACATTAAGCTAGTCTTAATGAATACGGAGAAAAACTCTTAATAACGGAGTCACTTCACGCTTGGCATTTAATTTCCCTTTTACATCGTCCTCTAAAGCAAGTGATCTTATCCAAAAGAAAGATTGCAAACTTCTTTTCAGGCCAAGAATATCTTCTTCGCTTGTTAACCATCCATCTGTGATTTGCCTTGAACACGGAAAAACCTCATTGTCGGCAAACAAAGCTTCGCGGCGCGCAAACATGACAAAGTATACCGAGTCGAAATAGTGTAAAAAAAAGGTCTACGCCAGTCTGCTTTGCAATGCAAAACACTTTATGATAGCGTCACGAGTCCATCGAGGAGCAATTGAGGTTCATTAATGAGCTGAAATGCGGGGAGTTGTACGGAAAGTGTGCTGAAAATTGTGGCGGGAAAGGGCTTATCTGGGTTATGTCACTGGGTACACAATCGCCACACTGCGCCAAAGTTTGCCGATGTGTGCATGAAGTCCGCCTGAGATGATTGAGGAAGCAACTTTGGACTCAAAATTATCACTTGAGAGCTTATGAGACTCTTTTCTCCGACACCATACATCAATCATCGCTCAGTTAACATGATTAGAAAGGCGCAAAAACTCTCACTCACTATCTCATCACTGGAGAATCACTTCGCGGAAAGGGTTAAGCCTTGGCTTTTGGCTGAAAGGCCCTCAACTCTGCTGTGTTTCTGGCACGATGAATGGGCCTGAGTTCATGGACTTGCAGAGATGCTGTGAGGCCTCGATTGAGAGGTCGAGAGAGACGGAAAACGCACAACTTGTTGCTCCTTCGCGACCGACGCAAAACACACTGAAAAGCATGCTTCCAAGTGTTTTAGACTGTCTCCCATTTGGTCTATTCTCACGGTGTCTCTCCCTCTCTTTTGTGTTCAAAAAAGTACAGGGTGTGCTGAAAAGCATGTGTCGAAATGGAAAAATTCACATTTTCTAAGCCACGCCCACTTCGATGCTCCGCCTATAGGACTGTCTAAAGTGTCTCAATATCACCTCTTCCGTTGATCATACAATTTTGTCGTCTTCAAGAGACTTTTAGAGAATTTAAAGACTTTTCCGAATTGCATAAGATCATTAGAATGCGTGAAGAATTGTGGTTGTAGCAGTGGATTGAAAAATGTTCATCAATTCTATGAAAATCTTCTCGCAACAATACTGAGTTACCCTGTTGGTAAACAGAGAGAGATTCCGAGAGCGCAGAGAAACCGTGAGAGATAAATTGTGCTGATTTAGCCTTCTCAAAAAGTGTATACATAAGAGAGAAAGAGAGGGAGAGAGAGAAGTAAATACCATAAAAGAGTGGGACATATGATCTATCCTTTGTATGTTGAGACTCAACTTATCAGTGCGATTTCTGGAAATTTATTCAATATTTTATTAGTCTTTATTGCTTTTCTATTTATAAACGGAGATATGATAAGAATCAAAGGCATTTCTCCGTGTTTTGCTGCGTCTGTTGATGGTGAAATGCTCGAGTTCATTGATTCTCAGTAGAAGAGCTAAAAATAAACATAAAGAAATACATTAAGAGGGTTAATCAGTGCACCAAAGTAAAACCCTAATGATTCCAAAGTTCAACGAAATTTCATCACAAAATGTCAGTACACTATTTGTCCACAGTGGGCGCTCGTGCGTCAATCATGAGGAATTTTCCCTTTATCTCGGCCAATAATTATTACGTCTTAAGCCCATAAATCCGCGTGATAAAGTGGAACTTTCCCACTGAGTCACCCTCTTAACATCTTGCCTCATCAACTCTACCAGCGCGCAGTTGGCGCTCCGATCGTGCTATTCGCCGCTGCATTTGTGCTAGTGAGTAGCGTTTTGGAGGGAAAAACACTATCGCAGTGAAATGAGGTGAAATGTTGGGAGTTTCTCAGCAAAAATGCTCTGAACGCGGCAATTTTCCATTTCGTTTGCTACTTTTCAGATGTCCTCATTTGCCAAAAGGTGACAATGTAATCGAATTGTGTGGCGTTATTGTCTTACTGTTTGCCCCGTCACCAAAACTTCTTCTGAGAATTCATATGTTTTTGCCATCACGCGGTGGATTTATCTGCGGTATGACGTAGAAAATTGGCTATAAATCCCCTGAATTGAACAGTATTTGCCAATGATGGCTGTTGAGATGCCTATCTCGCTCCAATTTAGCGTCATTATTGTGTGATAAGCATCCAAATGTGCGGTGAAAACAGCCAAATTCACTGACTCACACCGGTTCAGTGACGTCCAAGAGGCACTCCTGCTGGGCGACATGCGCGAAAAATGCGAATTTGTCGCGGACAAAACAAACACTTTCCATATCTTATCTTTGATCCCACAAAAAACCGCCACCAATTTGCCAATTATTTCAAGTGTGAACTGGTTTGGCAATGCCAGAGGCTATTTTTGGCCGCCAATCGTCAGGTGAGTGAAATCTCGTGACTCGGGATGGCTCTTCCCGGCTCAGGTGACCAAAGCGAGAGTCTCGTGAGAGGGAAAGTGATTTTCTCCCGGATTACCGGCAAATTTCACCCTGTCGAAGGCTAAGTGGCGGATTTTGTCGTGAATCCGGGAGTTGAAATATGCGCTCAAATTTATCCTGCATTTTCTCTGTGCGCGGCCAAAAAACCACATACAAAATTTCAAATGCGCGCTGTTTTCACATCTCACACTTGCTTGGTGTATTTCCTGAGCCAGAAAAAAAACACGCGATCCCACGAAAAGACGCAGAAGCTGACTTGAAAGAAGTTAATTAGATTAACTTTTCTCTGGCTGAGCGACGCGTTGGATGTTCCATATTGAGCCAAAAATAATGCCACGCGAGATGCTCTCAAAGGGCCTGTGAGACACAAGCCAAAATGATGACCTACATTTCTGCTCGGCTTTTTTCTTCCACTTCCACCATCACGACTTTTTTCCTCTGCCTCAGCATTTGTGGCGCAGAAAATATTTTTGACAGAATTGCTGGGCTTACAAAGCCCCAGTTTTCCATCGCAGGGAAAGCTTCAGAGGCTCTCCAGAGAGAGAGAGAGAGAGAGACAGAGAGAAAGAGAGTTCCTGGGCAAATGAAGGGCTTTCTCAGCACTTGACAATGCTCTCTTGCGCCTTCCCATTGAGAATTAATAAAAGTCATTTAGTGAAATAAATTGTATTAAATTGTAAGTTGTAAGTGGCTCTCGAAAAAGAATTTTTATAGACTCCAAGTGTTTCGACTGGTTGTGTGTGTATGTGTGCAGTTGGAAAAATGGGTCAACTATCGTTGTGGATTAATTCCACTATATATTTTCCAAAAGTACTTCACGACTGCGCGCGCGGCCCTTGTCAGGCCCCATTTTTCGAATATACTCCGCGCGCACTCACACTCCTTCCCCACCCTCTTGGCTGGTCGAATTTTGCGCACATTATGTAACATGCGCCGCGGATTAATTGCCTTCCCATTGTGCGTGAGATTGGCTTTGGAAAAACGCCGAAATTTTGACTCAAAACATTCCCACCAAGTCGTCAAATGTTTTCTCTCGCTCTGCATGGCTGATAATGAAAGTGAAATTCAACCATTTCTGTTCTATTTACGCTGTCTCACTTTTTACCTTATTCACCGTGACTCTTGGCCCATACCTCACCAAATTCAGCTGCTCTCCATTGATTTGCATTGCGCCTTCTCGTGCAAGGTGGATTGAAAGGAGATTAGGCAGGAGTTGTACTAAAGAAATTTAATCTGTCTATCTTGATATTGCATAACATCACGCAGTGAAAACAAGTCATTAAGAAGCTATACTGTTATGGCGTAGGAAATGGCCATTACTCTTGATAAAACATGATCTCATTCTTAGTACTGATCACAGGAAATACTAAAAAGTAAGTAAGTCAGATTTGGAGCAATCTTTTGAGAAAGCTTTCAAGAACATCTGTTGGACTTAGCTTAAGTAAAAGCTGCTCAAGCATTAACAAAAAGATTGAGAAAAATGATTTGTCCAATATTTTAGCTGTTTGATCAGTAAAAAATGTTCAAAAAGATCACTTTATATTTACTTAACCTAAATGATCAGGTAAAACAAGAAGTCACAGAACATAAGTTTCACACCAAATATGAAGGTACTTTTCGGTAATTTTCCGAATAAAATAATACTGTGACTAAATTGGAGCAGCCAAGAATACATCACAACTAAGCAACTTATAGTTTGATCTTCTGACACGAAATATCAGTCAATACTGAAAGGGTTAAGAGTCACAGTGCTGGCAGAATGGCAGTAAGTGTAGTGTTAACACATGGCAAAGCCCGAGAATTCCGTGCGGTTCTGACTGAGGAAGGACCACAGGATTTCCGCCAACTTTCTCCCTCTCTCTGTCCCACCCGCACATGTTTGCTGGCCGCGATGTGCGCTTGTAGTGAAAGTGACGTCGTGCGCGCGCAGCTGACAACGTCACACACTCCCATTGATGAGGGCGCGCGTGTGTTGGTGGCAGTGAGTGCATGTGAATGAGTGGCGGGGCCCAAAGTGGCGCACATCGTAAATTCAGTCAGTGCTCAGCCTTTCAACCGCCAAGACGCGTTTCTGGGACGCGCGAGCTTTTACGTGGGGCAACATTGCATTGGGATAGTGTGGTGACTGGTTGTATATAACCAGTTGCATCATAGATCCAAGACTTCAGTCGCAGGAGAGTGTAGCGCGAGGGCACATCGTGAGGATTTGGGGTGTCCTGTGGGGAAGCCGATGGATTATTTCTGGATTATAGACAAGTGACAAAGGAAGTGCTGTGTCAAGTGATAACAACTTTCGAAAAGATATATAAATATTTCGAAGAAAGAAAATCAGTGCAATTTCAGACATTTTGCGAGGAGGCCCAAGAGATAAGGAACTGTGTGTGTGCAATTGAGTGACTTGTGCAATAGAGAGTGAGCGAGGAGGCAAAAGGACATTTAATTCGGGGTCCAACTGACCCGTAATATGACGTTGTGCCTTCGATATGGAATCGCCACAGATGTATGATAGTTCTCAGCCCATTCAGATTGAAGTGAAGAAGATCACAATGGCGAGCAACGCGACGGTGACCAACAACAACACATCCAACATCAACCACAACATGGTGAAGCAGCAGCAGCAACAGCAGCTGCAGCAGCAGCAGACTAACGGCAGCATCCTGCAGAAGCACATGCTGCAGCAGTACTCACAGAGTGACCTGGAGGAGCTGACATCGCAGGAGATCAGCCTTGATCTGCAACACCTGATCGATGATCAGTTCCGCGATCAGGAGAGCATGGGCATCTTCACGGAGATGGTTAGCCCGACAAATGGCACGCCCAACGGCGTCAATGCGGCCGCCAAGGCGCTGCAGATCCAGCAGGGGCGGCTGCAGGCGCCCCAAGGCTACCCGCGCACCACGCTGGCCTACATGCCCCAGCCCGTGCACTCGGGGGCGACCTACACCAACAACTCGAGCGACGAGAACAGCAGCGTGGGCAGCGACGCCACCACGAGTATCAAGGAGGAGCCCGTGGATCCGGCTGAGTACCGACGCCAGCTGGCCAACGGGCAGTTCATGCCCGCCGCCCCGGTGCAGAATGGCGCCAATGGCGCCGCCGTGTACCCCAACCTGCCGCCCAACTACGCGAGCAACGGCTCAGGGAACACCTTCACCACCCTCACGCCCTCCACGGTGCTGCACCACCAGGCGCTGCCACATCTGCCCTCGGCCGCGCACCTGGCCAATCTCAAGCACAAGCAGATGATGAGCCACCGGAAGCAGAGCAACAAGCATGTGGACAAGGGCACGGATGAGTACCGGCGACGGCGGGAGAGGAACAATATCGCGGTGAGGAAGAGCCGGGAGAAGGCCAAGGTGCGCTCGCGCGAGGTGGAGGAGAAAGTGAAGACGCTGATCAAGGAGAAGGAGGTGCTCATCCGCCGCCTGGAGGAGATGACCAACGAGATCCAGCTGCACAAGCAGCTCTACATGCACCTCATCAACCACAGCAACCCAGAGATCAACCAGATCTGCCGGAGCGTGCTCAGCGTGGTGAACATGAGTGATCACGGGATGTGAGCCAAAGAGACGGCGCTCGGTGAGACACACAGACTTCTTCATCCCCATCCGCAACACTGTCCTCAATCCCGCGGGGGCGAATCCACCCCGCTCGCATCCCAACTAAGTGATTAAGGCTCAATACAGCGACTTTGTACAAACTAATGATGAGGATAACGCAAGAATCACCCCCAATACAAACTCTTATGTTTATTTATAGTAAGACTTGAAGCAATACTACTTTTCTTTTGATATAAACTTCTCTAACCTTAGATGGTCAGTCCGCTGGGAGGCACCTTCGTGGCCTCTCCAGAAGTGCGCGCGCGCCCCTAACTTACCCCCCACATCGAGATAATCCCTCACCTATTTATTCCCCTCCTCTGTTTTATTTTTTGTTCTTCACGCAATAATGACAAAATGTACCAAATAGAAGTGCTTCACGGCGTTGGAGGTTTAAGGCCCGCAACCTGTGACCATGTTAAGGGAGAAAAATACTTAACCTTAGATTGAATTGTGCAACGAAAGCGAGAAAAGCCCACACAGAATTTATATAATCCAACTTTGTATCTGTATATAGTGAAATTTATACTGTAAATACAACAAAAAAACACTTAAATCTATTACTAAACTAAGACTAAATTATATCAAAACTCCTATTTTTTGTGTGGCTGAAAGGCTCTCAGAGGAGGTCATGAAGAAAAACTGCCCTAAAATCTACTATATTGCAACTCTAAACTCTACTATTTTGTTACCCTTAAGTAAGGTATGAAAAAAGAATGAGAGAATGTGATGATGCTAAACCTGTCTAATTTAGAGCCCTTTTCTGTACATTTTACATCCTCTTTGAAAATCTGCACAGGAAAAATATTTGTGAAGATGAAAATCAGGGGAAAATGTCAGTGATACGATGCATTAATAATTTAAAACTCTAAAGTTAATTAACATTCTTCCCCTGGGCACTAAAGTTACCAACGCAACACGGGTACAAACCGAGGTTTTCACACCCTTCATCACAGAGTGCTACAAGTGCTTGAAAAGCTGCAATACAACACAAGAAAACAAAAAACCAGAAAGAACTAAGACAATATCTAAGGTTTATCGAGTAATATAGCAAATGTTTCTTTTCTTTTTAATTATAAACAAATCGGTTGCATTTATCGAAGAGGTGTTTTGCTGCTGTAAATGAGAAAAAAAAACGTGTTAATATAGTATATTAATTTTTGTAATTTATTTCCTTTAAAAACAAAAAAAAAACAAACCGTTCCTCAAATCCTCCCTCCTTCTGGGCTGCAATATTTCCACGATCATTGTGGAGAAATCCAATTTTATTTAAGTAATGAGGAGACCTGCTAAAATTAGGAGTTGGCGAATGATATTTTCACGACGGTTAAGTTACCATTAGGAATTTTCTTCACTACTGCGAGAAAATCTTGATTTATATAAAGTTATGACTTTTTTTTCTTTTATAAGATGCGAAGCGCGAGAATGTTCTGTTATTTTTTAAGGAATGCGAAGCATTGTATGAAGTGTACATTTTAAGAGAGAAAACTGATTTGCAAAAATAAAGTGAGAGAAAAAAATGACAAGTGACTTTGAGGAAAAAACTTTCCCACTTCCCTTTTCAGTCCCACTTTTCCCGCACACAAGCGCACACACGGTGAGTATAGGAAAGTAGGTTTTCTCGTGCATCGCGGCGCCAAAAATAGGTGATTTTCCATCTCTGTCGCCGAGATTGGCATCGACTTACGAGCATCTCTGCGTCTTTTGCATTCTTGCTGTGACCGTGAAGATCACGACGCCGAGAGCCAACAATGAGACAAGGTATCACCCAAAATTTCCCTTTTCACCCATTGTCGCACAGGTCATAATTGCTGCCAGAAATGCTAAATTAACTATGCATCCAATTGGGCGATTAGAGTGCTGAGGAAGGGTGAAAAGTAAGAAATATTCCGCCAAGTGCAAAATTTATTTCACTTCACACAGTAAACACAACTGAAATAAGCCCACTTTCGCGTGGCATATGTAATACTGTTCAGAATTTTAAGAAATTTAAATAATTAAGTAAATCTTAGAATGTTATGTTTGCCCAGAATGTTAGGTTAGGGTGAATTTAAAGTTGTATTTTCATCTTTCTGATACTTCTTGAGATGATTTGAGGGCCATAAGTGCCAATCCCGAACTTTTTCTGAAATTTGAAAGATCATTTTCACTAATTTCAAGTCCAAATTCAATAAAATAGAGAAGTAAGGTTATGTCTTCTGTTTTATAAAACTTTTATTTGTTTTTATTCCTCCATAAAATGATTAGTACATTTAATTAACTACTATTAAGGAGAGAAAACTGCATCTAATATGAAGGTAAGAAATTGAATTGATTTAACCTACAACTACAAAACTTTATTAGTCAGATATCCAAAAAATTGTCCTTCTAAATCACTCTTGAAAGAGAGTTTATCTCTTTAAAGTAACTTTTGCACGTTTCATTAATTCAAGGACTCACATAAGACTCATATATCTTTTAATCAGGCCAATAATGATAACTGTAATACTGGATTAAGCAGAAAATCTACACCGTCTCAGTTCAGTAAATAATTATTATATAACATTTATATTATTTGATGTTCAACACAAAATCTGATGAACAAACATGCAGAAAAACACAATAAAATAGAATATAAAATTATAATAAAAATCAAGCAGATTAAACTGTCTTTTATTACTCAGTTTTTCCCTATCCGTTGCTATTCTTCTTGGCGCCAGTGTATAATGTCTGAATGTTAAAGACACTGAAGATTATTTAGGAATTATTGCCATTTCTGTCGCTTGTATTTTGTCACTCCTCAACCAACATTTTTATGATAACTGCATTTTAAAATTGCCTCTCCTGGCATTTAGAGAGAAAAAATTAATAATCCATAAAAGCGACTTTAGACACCCGCAACTGATATTCTGCCATGCAGGCTCATTTTCAGCATCGCACGTCTGGCGAAGTGAAAGTTTTTCGTGTATAAAAATCGTCTGCCGGCAAAAAAGAATTTAAATATTTGAATAATAATAGGCACAGAGTGTTAATATGGCATCCAGCGACTCATCAATATGCCGGAGACACTCCATAAATCTCCAGCGCATTGTCATAATGACCGTTGCGTTGGGAATTGCCGTTGGAGGTCTCTTTGGCCAGAAGACCCAAAACAGATGATGATTCCCGCGGAGTGGCCAAAAAGTTGGCGGGAAAAAGAGAGAATATATCAAGTCGAGATTAATTAGAGCGTTGCCTTTTACATAAACCCCGCACTGGATGAAGTAACTTCGAGTGCGCCTCGAATCTGCTGCATTTTCACCGCATTAAATTCAGCAATACCGCGATTTTTCGCAACTCCTGGTGCGCGCCACCACCAATTGAAAAGCCATCGGCGGTCTGCCCTGAGAAAATGCACGTGAAAACTCACTCCCAAGAGCCATTGGCCAACGAGCTTTCGTCGCGGGGCGGGGAAAATTATGGCTGCGGGGCACTTTGAGAGAATCTCATGAGTTTGGCTTTTCCAGTGGCCAAAACTCCTCGCAATTCGATTTCAAATTCACGAAGCGTAACAGAGGCGAAGCGAAAGTGTTGCCTTTTCATAATTCCAAAATGCCAGAACATAGTTTTAAAAATGAAAATAAAAGCCACACATTCCATTGACTCTTTTCTGTCCATTGTCTTGTAGCTTTGCTGGCGCGCGGCGTACATTGTTGAGAGGCTCTTTTTCACACCTTTTCCAAGAGCACTTGTCGATTTTTTGGCCATTTCACGTGAAATCTCTGTGTTTGAGAAAAATACAGCGCGACACTTAATCGAAGGTGATCAACCCTCCGGGAAAAAAATCCCATCGACTTCCAATTGGCTCGTGACTCTCGGGCGGGGTAAAAGTCAGGGGGTGAAAGTCAAGCGGTGAATTGTCTCTTAGATTTAATGGTTGAGCGACTTCGAGAGGGAGTGCAATTGAAAGTGGCTAATTTGCGTGTCGCAACATCAATTACCACTAAAATGGTATTAAGAAATAAGAGGGTTAGCCAATGTTCTCACGACAATGCATTTTTGATGAGGAACTCACTTAGGGAAGAATTTTTGGGGCAGTTAAAGAGGAAGGATATGGTAATCAATTGACTGATAGAGTTTCTGGTAGAATATCAGTCAAAAAACATTATTAATTCGCATTAAATGGGTGGAGCATTCAAGTGGGCGGAGCTTCTCTGAAGTATCTCATCTTAATACTCAATATTACTTGATTGACAAAGTGCCTTCTTGTCGATTTTTCTCCTTCTTCCTGCCAAGAATACAATTTATCAGTAAATATTGATCCAATTGCTTTGAATAGGAGTGGAAAAAGTGCATAACTGGCAGAGACGAGCACCCGTCAAATGGATGATCGTCTCGAGAGGAGTTGAGAAGATAGGCGCACGAGAGTGAAAAAAACACGATAACTTAATATAAATGTTTAAGGTCATAAATAGCCCAGCGCGACCTAAATACCATAAAAACCTTCCAAAATAATAAACAGCAAACAGACTTTCGGTGCAGATAGTTTTGTGGGCCTTCTTTCGCGCTGCTCTAAAATAAAAAGCTTTTCACGCCACCCACCGCCCCACCCCACCCAACTGGGGCACACAGCTCTGAGGAATTTTCCGTGTTTGAGAAACTGTGGTGAGAGTGTGAAGGGCCTGAGAGGAAAGTGTGTCAGGGAAGAGTGAGAAAGACGGCTCGTTATCAGGCATAGAGATATAACCAAAAATCGTGGGCCCAACAAGACACTCATAGATCCCACACTGCTGCACATTGTGCGCCCATGTAGACCATCTTTGGGCAAAACACACTTTCGCTTTCGTGGCGACAACATCTTCGCCGAGCCTCGAGAGGTTAACAGACTCGCAAAAGAACGGATATGTATAGGGCCGACAAAATGCCCCGAAGTGAATGCCTTTTAATAGCTCATTTTAATTGGACAAATGAGGCGCAAGAAAAAACACTCAATTTCCTTCAACACTGCCAGAGACCGAAAAAGTGTCTGAAAGTGAAGTTGGTGCAGAGAAAAAATAAGGAAATGTGAAATCTGGGTCAGTTTGTTAATTTACAGAGATAGAGTGAGACAGTGTGAGATAAATTAAAACTATTTTCGTTTTTTACACACCACTATGAACTGTTCAAATCTCCAATAATGACGTTATATAACAGCTGTGAAGAGGTTTTTCTCCACACAATCGCGTCGCTCCGCGAACAGACTCTATTGCATTTCATTGACTTGGTGAATGAGAAAATGACTATTTTGAACCGATGAGGGATTGTTGCCTAGTAACTGGAATATCAATCCGGATCGAAGGACCAAGTACTATCCCACTTCTGAATTGTAGCAATACTGCTACGATCATACACTATTTTTACATGCCTAAATCATCACTTTCGAGCACTCTGCCGAGTTCAGAGGTGCTTTGATGGTTTTTGGTAGCTCTCTTGAGTGTGTATCGCGCACACCTTTATTATCGGGACCTAGTTTAGTAAAAATTAACACTTTTTCTCACTGACTACAACGCATAATGACAATGTAAAAAGTACACTCTCGATGCTCCTTCCCACTCCCTCCACATGCCATTTAATTTCCCATACGGAGCCTCTCACATTGTATAACTCTAGCGCCACAATTTCGGTGCCACACTCGATGGATATTGTCTGTGGTTTTCAGCTTTATCAATCACATCAGACGTCGCGGGGTTGGGGTCAAATTCCGCGGGTCAGGCGGGATGTCAAGGAAGACGCCCAGTTTTGAATTCAAAGCGAAAGGCGCGCACACAAACGGAAACCCACCGAATTTTCCCCATCACTTTTCACCCAAACTACCCACAAATCGAAGATGCGATATAGTTTTTTTTCTCCGCGCCGTCCATATAAAAATCACATAAATTGCAACTTCTTGCATAACATCTTGACACCATTTTTTTCCCTCCGCGCGAGTCTCAATTATCTCACTTCTTGTTTTCTCCATGCGATTTATTCATTCCAGATACATTTATTAAGCCGTTGAAGAAGCCGCGAGTCATCTTCAGTGAAAGACACACGCGACGGTCGAAATGGAAAGTGAGCTTTGATTTCACTTTCAAGGCCGCGAGCTCATCTGTGCGCGGCCGATAGTCAATATGAGGCGCGCAATTCTGGCGCGAGAACTCGGCCGAATGGGAGGAATTTCGCGAAAACGAGCCCCCAGACAAGGCGGCGGACATTGGCTAAGGTCAGGGATGAGTGTTCGTCAGTCTCGCGAATTTTTCTCGCGTGCCTCCAAAAGTTCTGACGATAGAACACGAGATCTCGCGCTATCTCTGGTCGGCTGTTGTTTTCCCACGAGGTCACTAGCATCGCGATCAGAGCAATTAGTCGGCGATTGATCAATGATGCTCTCAGTCAGAGTGTTTCGCGCTCAACTCAATGGATTGTTTGCGTATTTTACACTGATTTCACGGCGGAATCGCGCGGTTTGGTAAATGAGAATTCCAAATGTACGACAAATTCTACGAAACGCTTTGTTCTTACCTTTAATTCCTTGCCCATCATCATCATCATCATTGAGTTCCTTTCTCTTTTCCGACGTGTATTTTGATATGGCATCCATTTCTTCAGCAAATCAAG